TTGAGCCGTGTCACACCGGAGCGGTCCCACTACAACCTTATCCTTTAACTTAGCTCACTGAGGTCGTAGACTTTCGTTTTTCTCTAGGAGCGTCAGTTGAATCATGGACTCTCTCGTTGAGGTTGTTGATTTTTTAACGCGGCTCCGAGAGATTGTTTCAGTTTATTCAATTTGTGTTCGTTGTGGTTCGCTCCCCTTCAGGTTGTGCGAGTGTGGGTGCCGAGCACCTTGCACGACCTGCGTTCCAACCAGTATTTCTTTGTATTATTGTGAAACTTGCCGGCGGAGGGTCAGAATTATTGTGAACGCGTTTCACAATAATTTATTCAGACTCCTCCAGAGTTTTGAGTTCCAATCATAAATTGTAAGTACTACATTTTTATTAAAAATTATATAATATGGTGGATGGTGGGACGTTGTTTATTTAAAAAAAAAGTATAAAATGCGGGTGCTAGGTGACAAATAGACTGAGAGTCTAGTGTATTTAGAAGTAATCCTCAGGTCTATTTGGACCTAGCACCCGCCTTTTATACCTACTATGGATGCGCCCCCGAGACGCCCCGGTCATGTTCAGCAGGTCCACTGCGAGGTCGACCAATAGAGTCCCAACCAGCGCCATCGACGGGACCCGAGGAGGGCCGGGCCAGGGCCAGGAGGCACCGGAACCCGCAGCGCCAAGGGGCACCGGAACCCGCAGCGCCAGCACCCGTGTTATCGATCCTCCTCAGCCCGCTCCACTTTTCCTTCCCCGCCGCCTACCGGCTCCAACATTCCCGACGCGTGTCACCGTCCGGCCGCGGTCATTTACAATTTACTTCCATCTCATATCTTTATCACATTGACCTCGCCTTCGCCTCATTATCAGCAATTCATATGCGCCCAGCTCTGTTCCCCAAAATCCAGTCGCCACTCTTCCAAATCTCACGTAGCCTTTGCCACTTTGAGATTAGTCACGTAGGCACTTTTACAAATACTCACTCCACCCTCGAGCCCCCGCTCAGTCTTTCCTCAGCTTCGCAGATGATCATAGCCCTGTCCCCTCACTCCGTAGCAGTGCAGTCTTTTCGCTTTATTGTATTGTTCGTCACCTGTGTATTGTAGTTCGTGCCACCGAGCACAAAGTAAATTGTTTCACTAGCAAATTCCGTTGAACACTTCATTTACCCACTCCCGAATATCGATAATTCAATATTCGATAGGATCGATTATTTATCGATCTCTGAATTCCCGCGCAGGGATGCCACCGATGCAGCCCTCGTTTCCACATTTCCCTGCGGCGGCGCCCTCGCCAGTGCGATGAGTGCCCGTTTTCATCCCGGTACCGATGCCAGTCCCGCTAACGACTCGCGTTATGTCCAACACCCGCAACGCACCCTGGATCGGGGGTACAACCTGCCAAGTATTTCTACAGCACCATCCCGCCGGCAAATCAAAGGGGCAATGAGAGCCCAACGTTTCCGTTTGGAAAACATGTAAATAATTTTGAAATAATGATGTTATTAATCGTAAAATCGTCCCAACATTTAGATTTTGTTTTGTTGGCCTGACAATGATTTTTTGAATACTTGTAAATAAAATTCACATAGATAATTTGTTCCCAACTGTTTTTGCGTACCAAAGAACTGATCGGAAATTAGTATGACGTGTGAAAAAGAACTTCGAAAATGTGTGTGATAAAACTATAAAAGCTTGGATCGGATTAACTCGAGAACAGTTCAACAATTTAAGTGCGCATTTTGCCAGTGTTGACGCGGTTGTAACAAGGCTGGTGTTTTTAGGATGCATGTTTACTCTGGGTTGATACAAAAACAAATAGGAAAAATATTTAGAATGTTCATTAGATAAGTGTGAGTAGTCACATATCCGAGGCAAGAATCGTCCTTACTGAATTGTTTCTTAAATGTTTATGTCTTAAATCTCTGAAATGTTTCATTAGTTTTCAACGCCTTTAATAACCTAGCCATATTAGCTTTGGATACATTAAAAAAAGACGGGAGTAGGGTGATTTCTAAAAGAACCATAATACTCTCGTATTGGATTGCAAGATTGAAGATGACATTGAAGACCTGAAGCCCCAGGTCTCCGTAATTAGGTCAGATAATTCGAATAAGTATAATAATGGGAAACATCAAAATAAACAATTTTCAAAATCTAATAATGTGTAGTGTCCTAGGAGTAATCCAACATTAAAAGAGGAAATAAAGCAACAAGGCACTCGGCCGAACAACAACACGCGAAGGAATGCACCGTATAGAGTAAAGTGCAAGCCACATTTTAAAGTTAGCAGCAGTGCACCGCAAGTTAAACATTGACAATATGTCAGGGGTAGTGTATGCAATTTGCACAACTTGTTGAGGCAATTTGCCTATTTATTTTAATTTTTCTAAAACTCAGGGTTTCCAATGTCGACCAAATTTGCATAACAGTCTCTCGGTTTCCTAGGGCTCTCATTTACCTGCATCGTGGTCTCTTGGTGCCTTTTCGCGTTCCTCCTGAGATATTGTCTCGCGGATATCTGTTTTGCTTAGCATCGGTTCTCGGACCAGCCAATCAGAGATAGCGTGGGGTACGCTGGGGGTGGCCCCCAAGAAGGGTTGAACAGGGAACAAGGTGTTGGGCTCTGGAGGGGCTCCTCACTTCGAATTCTACTTTTCAAGTCAAAGGGAGTCAACTCCTCGAGTCTTAGCGACAAATATAAATTTTTCCCAGACGAACAGATATTTTTCCAAGTCCTTCGAGACAACCGCCTTATTTAAACATTTACACATTTTTTTTTTTTGGTTTCATACCTATGAGCGCTCTCTTCTAGTGCATTCGCTTCGGGTCTGTATGGCAATATTAAAATTTTCCTAATTTCTAATAAATTACTAAGTTCTTGCATTAATTCAGACGTGAAGTTGGAACCAACCCTCAATCTGCCTCTCACACGGACTCGGAATCGTTGAGGAAAGTTCTGCTACCCTTTTAAATTTATTTTTGTTGCGTATTTTATGTGTATTTCTCTAATACACCCCTTTTTGATTGTTATTTTGACGCTTCTTCTTTATTCCTATTCCGAGGGTACTCGGGCAAGAATTCAACGCTGCGCGGGCGTAATTTACTGCTTCGTCCCACTCGAAGTACGGATCACAGTAATGCTTCAAATAATCTTCTAACACCCATGACGATTTTGTTTTGTTAATTTTGGTTTCGTGTTGTTAATTTTTCGGACTTTCCACATTATAATTTTTCATCACCAATCAGCGACTTATATTTATTGCTCACTCTAGAACCCTACAAATGTTAAACAAGATAACAATGAATATTACTTTTGTATAAAGAGATCGTAACATGGCACAAAGTTAGAGAATGCTCGGCCCACGGCCAAACTTGAAAGAAATGCGGTGGGTTAAATCATTTTAGTAAGGGAGGACGTATGATCGTAAGAACTGTATGAATGAGAGTTCAAGCTCTACCAAAGATAAACAACCTAACAAAAGTAGTGTGAATGAACTTAAAGATAGGAATGTCGATAAGAATGACTCTCCAAATGCCTACCCACATCTTGACTCAGCCTTGTCTGTGGATATTAATTCTGTAGATGTTAAGTCAGCATGGTACCAAGAATTAATCTTGTATCATCATGCTCCTACCTGGTCAGTCCTCCTACTTACATGCTGGATGCATAGAAATGATACGTATATAATTAGAAAAATACATTTCATACGTCGTGTGCATCGATTTTGGTGTTTAAATCTTAACTCGTAGTGCGTGAAAGCGAATAAATATTCGTTGTAAAATTAAAATGCATTACGGAACTTAATTTTGGGGCTTGAAAAATTATGCGTATTTTAGGCTATCCTTATTTTGCATATTTCTTGGAATCCTTGCGTTTAAGTCTCTCGGGTGATATTGATTATTTTCGTTATAAAATTCAATACACTTGAAAAAAAAGTAGCTTGGGTCTAGAGTCCAGACTCATAAAAACATTGACAAGAAAAAATACTCTTGATTCAATCGGATTTTTTCTCAAATCAAGAACCAAGCCTCTTAATCCAAGCGGATCCTCTTAATCTTTGATTCAAGCCAAACTCCGATTGAATCAAGAGTATTTTTTCTTCAATGGAAAAAAAAACACATTGGATCTAGAGTCCAGACTCTTGAAAACATTGACAAGAAAAAATCCTCATGATTCAATCAGATTTAAGCTTAAATCAATAGGAAATCCGCTTAAATTAAGAGGCTTGGTTCTTGATTTAGGCAAAAATCCGATTGAATCAACAGTATTTTTTCTTGTCGATGTTTTTAAGAGTCTGGAATCTAGATCCACGGTGTTTTTTTCCCCCAGTGTTGTCAATGTTTTTAAGAGTCTGGACTCTAGGAGAAGCTGCATGACTGTTGGCAATGACAATTTTTTACAACCGTCCCTAATTTCCACTCTCACAAGACAAGACCAAAAAATTTCACTAGCATGTTGTAAAGGCGTGGAGGAAATGAAAATCGTCAGGATCAACTTGTCATTTTTTCTGCAAAATCAACAGCATCTCTGGAAGTTGAGAAAAATTTGAAAATCAGGAAGTATTCCTTTGATAGTTGGGCACTTTTAATCCTATAACTTGGGTTTAACATGACAAACCCTATTAAACTGTACATTTGCTAAAAGGTATTGGCACTTCGAAAAATGCTGGTTTAAAGTAAAATTATCTAAGAATTTCCGTTTTCAAGTGATACATTTTTGTATGTAATCTTCACTGATCGGTTCATCGGTTTCATGTGCGCGCAAGTGGGATGTGCAATTTATTAAAAAGTTTGGTACCCAGTTTTGTGTCCTTGGGGAATTTGCCCCCGAAGCTGTCGTTGGCCATTATGGCCAAGAGAGAAAAATCGGTTTCATGTGCGCGCAAGTGGGATGTGCAATTTATTAAAAAGTTTGGTACCCAGTTTTGTGTCCTTGGGGAATTTGCCCCCGAAGCTGTCGTTGGCCATTATGGCCGGATTACGTTCCATCGTGCCAGATTATGATGCGTTGGCGAGAGCGGCGTTCCAGGGTCGTGTTCGAGATTCCTGCTCACCTCCGCCAACGCATACCCGATAATCGAGCTCCACTCTATTACCCTGAAGAGCCTGTGGTGCTCAGACCAGCCATTGACACCCCCAAGGAAGAAGCGGAGAGAGCGGAGAGATACGCCCGCTGGCCGATCTACGACCCTCCATGGGAGGTCACAAATTGGGAAGGCGATATTCGCCCTCTCGCGGGTTATGACGCTTGGGTAAGATTTTTATGCTCTGTATTCTGGAAAAACCACTTATAGCCGCTATTAAAAATGTATCGACTTTTAGCACATTTTAAAGCACTCTATGTCATTTCTTTATGGTATTATGTTTTGCCGAACCTCTCTGGTCTGAGAAGGCGGAGCTGGCTGCACCGAGCCAAAGTGGCACCGAGCCACCACAGCCGAGCCCCTCCTTTACATGTACTCTATGGTTTTGACGTGTGTTATGTTTTCAGGAAAAAATGCCTGATTTGATTCCTTCATGTGCAATAGTTCAGCGTTGGAGAAAAAGGTGCTCAAGGCTTGTGTTCGCCGTACCAGCACACCTCCGCCCTCACCTTCCCGACTCCCGAGCGAAGACCTCATCTTACCTACCCTGACGAGCCTTCGGTGCTAAGACCAGCAGTTGACAGCCCACAGGCTGAAGTGGAGAGAGCCGAAAGAAACGCATGGTGGCCAATCTACGACCCGCCAGTGGAGGTCATTAATTGGAATGGCGATGTTCGCCCTCTCCCCGGATATGACGCCTGGGTGAGATTTTTATGCTCTGTGTTCTGGAAGAATCAATTATACCCGATTAATTATATCCTGAGTCGTCTGACAAGACCGAGATGATTGCGTTGAGCCACGTTCGCACTCTCCCTATAAAGGTCCTCTACATATGGATACATGGAATGATTATGGTAATGATGATAATGCAACCATGGTCTCAGGAACATTCTCGACGTACAATCCAGAATTTCCATCATCGAGTATAATAGAAAGAGAGAGACATAAGAATACGGAGGTTGTTGATTTGAGGGTTACCTAGTCTAGGGATGAATGATGGCATTGATAATGACATAAATTATATAATAGACGAATACATAGATAATTACGTTTTTGATGGTGAAATGTTTTTTGATGCTGCTGATTTCGAAACTGAAAGAGTAGTGCAGTGTGAAGAGAGAGGTATTCACATGGTGTTTAACTCGTATCCTCAACCCTACGATGAAAGAATGCAGCGATTAGAATTTTGCAAAGATCCGGAGACAGGCAATATTGTCACTTTCACGAACATCAAGAAGCCTAGTTCAGAGGAGCATAGTTCAGGGGAGAATCAAAGGGATCCTCTGATCGAAATGAACAGGGCCAGGGATGCCAAGGAATTTCAGAACCTTTTGAATCAGAGTCAAGAGGAACTAGAAAATTTTGACTTGGACTCTCTGTCCGACATGTAGTGTGGTACGCCCTGCGTCCCCCACCACGACTCCATCACATTGAGCACCACTGGATACCAGAGTGTGGATACTCTTGAGCCGTGTGTATCTTATCAATGCATCGTTATCAAAATGGCGTGGATACAAATGCATGCGGCTCCCCCGGCTCGGGGCTTCTCGCGATTTGCCCTGAACGACTTAGCGCCGCTCCGCGCGCGTGTTACGTCCCTGTCCTCCACTTCTGCCTTAATGCTCTGTATGCTGATGAGCTCCAATCATCCCTCTATTTTTATTGCTATCCAATATTTACATACGAATTGACACTAACCGTCGTCTATAAGCATACTCCAAAATTTTGTAAATCGTAGCGACGGATCCTATTCCTTTGATATTCTCTAGTTGACCTCTCGCCTATTTTTCCAAGCGATTCCACGTGGGCGTCTGGCGGAATATTCCACCATGCCCAACGCTGATATAAAAGGTATTGGCGCCAGCCTAAAGTGTTCTTCCTGCTTTCACACCTGTCAGAGCAATAGCTCCGTCTGCTCGATCCCGAAGCAACTGTACTAACGAATCTCATTAATACACATTTATAGTGTCAAGTCATATTTTGTGTCTACTCATTTTTTCATTCGAAATTACATTTGCAAACATATTTTTCGCGCTCCGACGTTCCTTTGCTCCGTCCGCCTGTGTCTCCGCTCGGTCTGATCCATAAGTTGACTTCGTTTTATCTACCCGTCTCCCACTACGCTACCGAGGGTACGAAACCAACTGGTGGCAGCGATGGGCTTCGAACCCACGCCTCCGAAGAGACTGGTGTCTTTTGGAGAGCGTTACCCGCGAGATTCCTGGCATTGCTTAGTGCATACTGAGGACGACGCTGCGACGTATCTTGTAACGCGGTATCTCGACTGTCTTTATGAAAGATTAGTCTGCGAATACGTTTGGTAAGTCCTACCACTGGGTTAGTGTTTTTGAAAGGAGTCACTGGCCCTCTTTAGTATTGTGTGTATTTCGGTGCCAATTTTGTATTCTTCAGTGTTTTTATCTGAATAGACGACCGCAGTGAAAAATAGTTTACTTAGTAGTCTTTTAGTGCAAAAGGATACCTTTGCCTACGCCTACACCCCCCTTTTCTTTAAAGACCAGAAGAAAAGGTCTTAGTAGTCTTTTAGTGCAAAAGGATACCTTTACCTACGCCTACACCCCCCTTTTCTTTAAAGACCAGAAGAAAAGGTAGGACCCTCGTGGGTTTTAGTTAGTGGTTTTGGGCTTGAGGCGCCCGATCCGTCCCAGTGGGCAAGACATTGACCGCTGAAAAATGGTTCAGAAGAGAGAGAAGTGTACTGGGTACCTAAATCAGACAAATGGGATGCATTTTGATCAAATTCATCAGAAGGGAACTAAACAACGTACAATGTTACTGAGATAGGACAGCTGCCTATTAACAGTGGAGACAACCTTCGTTCAGCGAGAACTTTGGTCGTTGCAGTTGCTCACTGTCAAAAGAATGGCAGTCATGAAATGATGAAACGTTACAATAACATCAGGCTATCTGAATTACTTTCCAAGAAACACAGCAATCTCCAGAAGTCGGAGGCTCAATTGCTGTGTCGCCGTGCTAAAGTAAACCTGGAGAATGGAGGTTCAATCGACGATGTTGTCTCATTCAGAACATTTTTAGTCGATTATACTAAAACTGTTAGTATACTATTATACTAGAGAACAGGTTGTCGCGTTGGCCTCGGCCACGAGATTTCGTCCCTTTTTGTCCCGCGGTCCATGAGCTGCTTTGTTTCCGGCGATCAGAGTACTGGTCGCCAGATGGACCCGATGCAATGACGCTCGCAGGCTGAAGGGATTTTGCGGAAAGGAAGGGACTCGGAGTTTGACCCTTTGCGCCTCCCTTGTTCGAGTTTTTGATGTTTTTGCGGAATACACATGTCGATTGCTCAAATTAAATTTTTAGCATAACCCCTAATTTTTCAGCAAATCACTTATTTCACCTACTTTAAACGGTAGAGATAGCGGACTCTTAATTCAGTCTGCATAGAGTTTTCAAAAACTGCAATTCTTGTCGAAGCGCTAGTTTTGTCGGTATTATTGACAACAAAACCTATTGTTCTAAGTCCAATTTCTGCTCTAGTACATTCTCAAAATTAGACAGAGGTACTTTTGTTGTGACTATGTCTACTTTGAAAAATCATCTTCTTTCTGCAAATCACTGCAAATGCAGAGTTTTTTTTTTTTTTTTTTTTTTTTTGGTTATCATTTCTGATTGTTTAAGTGAATAATTGTATAATGTTACTAATGACACTTATTGGTAGAACTGCTAGTACTCTTTGAGCATTTCGTTGATTTGGAAGATTTCCTGGTATTCTTCTTCTGATAATCGCGTACTATACTCTGGCTTTTCCCCATCCAGGTCGTCGTAGAATTCGTGAAATGAGACAACTTCATGGCCAGTATCCTGCAAACGTTCCTTCTCCCACTCTGCTTCTCTTTGCAATTGGTCGCGCTTATTCTCGAAAAGTTCTTGCGTCTTGGCCAAGAGCAAGAGCATTGAGAGAACATTTTTGAGGCCATAGATTAAGGAAGTGCTCATTGACTATCGACAAAACACAGTGCCACCTGAAGGGATAATATCAACATCTATAATACACATGGCCTACACTAATGTTTGACCTACTCTGAGATGACCCGAGTTTGATGGTCTCAAACAATGGTTGCCTGGGACTGGTTCAGTAGGGACGGAGGGGGGATGGGCCTTAAAGCGTGGGATTAGCCCTTGAGGGCTATTTGAAGTAGTAAAAAAAAAAAAAAAAAAAACTAAGTTTTTGTTTTTGTTTATAGCCGAGGTCCTAAAAAATTTCTCAGGAAATGGCGGCGGGAGGACGAAAAGGCGAAGTGGAGCATTTGGCTCAAACTTTTTCTGTCGCGAATGTAAAATAGGATATCATAAAGTTGAAGCTCACAAATGTGCAACTCGGTGTCCTGCCTGTAATAGTAAAATCGTGCGCAATCAGCCCGTTGCAAGAGTAACTTGCAGCAAATGCAATCGATATTTATACGGTACAAAATGCAACGAAAATCATTTTGAGAAGTACGATAAGGAAGAAACCACTTGTGAGGCTATCAATCAATGCAACAGTTCTTTGAAAGTGTTTAATACTAAAAGCCAGAAAAAACCACATTTCTGGGGTGTAATTTTTGTTCGATATGCGGTAAACATGTATCAGTAGAACGCTTTAGTTGAATGCAGCCAATCAGAGAGCGGGTCTATAAAAAATCCGAGAAGAGAAACGCTGACCCAGATCCAGTCCAGAATCAGGGTAGTCCTTCCTGTAAACATGGGCTTGAGGGTAAAAATGAAAATTAATAATTTTTGTGTGTGTTTTACGATTTAAAGGCGACGCAATGTAAGAGGACTAATGTTAAGAACGAATATTTACACGAGCTGAACTTCTGTGTTGCTCGACATCATTGTAAGCATTGTTTGGATGATTTCCAAATTGACGAGGATTGTGAGGACTGCGGGAAAAATAATATGTTTCGAAGTTATGACCGTGAGGGCTCAGTCTTTGACAAGATTTCAACGATGGTTTAAGATTCTTCAGGGACTTGAATATAGAATTGCAGGATACACACTGATCGAATTGTTTTTTCCACTTTTCAATTAGATAATTATTGGTACCAATAAACCGGGCTGCTGCCTCGCAAGTGGGGAAAAATCTCGCCAAAAATCTCGGAAAGTGCAAGACTTCCGAAATAAAGACGAGCCCAGTGGTCAAGATGAAAATGTTTTAAGCAACGAATATTGGCAACGCCAAGAAGGGCTGGGGGACGGCAAGGAAAGCGCATCATACTTGTACGGGGCGGAAAAGTTGTGGGTGGAATTCCCTAGTGACAAGTGGTAGTTGAGCTATTGCGTCGCTCGCTCGGATAATTTTTCTCTCTTCCTGTATCTACCGATTAGTATGGAACGCGTTGAATCCTTATTCTTGTAAGGAAAGGGGAATCGAGTTCTTTTCAAGAGAAATATTCCCAAGCATTTTCCCTCCTCATTTTGCCTATACACTACAAGCACTCGAGAATTTCTTATTTTTGTTTTCGTTGAAACGATCAATGCGATTAATAAGGACTTGGAGGCTCTACAGAAGAAGAAACCAGTCGATTTTCAAAGATTTCCTACCGAGTTAAAAAAAGACTGGAAGGCAACGGAATGCAGGACGTTTCTTTTTTACATCGGACCCGTGCTTTTAAAGCAATATTTAGATGTTCATAAATACAAAAATTGTATGAATTTGAGCGGCGCTATTCGGATCGGAGTAGATCCAAAACACTGTCAAAAAGAGGTTCCGAGAATGAGACGAATGATTCACGATTTTCTGAGAGGAGCGCACACGTTGTATGGTGCTAGAACTTTTGTATACAACTTTCATGCCTTGACTCATTTGCCAGATGATGTTGAGAGGTTTGGGTCCTTGGACAACTCAAGTGCTTTCCCTTTTGAAAATCACCTTTTTATGCTAAAAAACCCATCAGCTTAGGAGCATTATTCGACCAGCGGCTCAAATTGCCAAAAGGCAAAGCGAGCTAAACGGCGACTTTATAATATCCTTCCACCAACAGCTGAAGCATAAATGGGTAGTATTAAAAGGGAAGCGCTAAAGACCTTTACCAACAAGGGTGGAAGGGAAACAATATTTCCATTGTACCTACAAAGATTTCACAATGCAATGTCGACTCCCAAACAATGTTTGTGGACTTGAGAACGGCGCCGTCATAGAAGTCACCAATATAGTGGAGGGAAAAAAGCTGTATGTCATTGGGAAGAGGTACAATGTCAGAGAGTGCAATTATTTCGGAGTTCCTCATGAACTAATTGACATGGTCGTCGTGGACGAGCTTCAAAATGCAGAGGAGGTATGGCGATTCAGTGAAATTAAAAAAAAATATGTTTTGTTACCATTGAATAGGGGCTCTTTCGCTATTTCGATTAAACACACCTCGTAAAAGCTATGAATCCAAAATTAATAGTCACATTACGCCAAGTTATTCTCATATATTACTGATGAGCCAAAAGCTTGTAGATTTTTTGGATGTCGGAAAGGTATATCGTTTTGCAAAGGCAAAACTTAGAAGCAATGTTGCGGAATTATTGCGAAAATTAGCGTAATTTTACTCGAGACTTGCGGCTGTATCATCTTTCTGTATCACTATAACATGACTCTGTAATATTGCTGCAACATCTGGAAAAGAAGGGACGGCGTCGATGAACGAGATCGACGCACTTAATTGGGTGGTAAGGTGTTCGAACTTGGTGTGACGAACAGTTACACATACTTCGGGACAAAATATTCCAGCTTCGCGTGGCATCGGGAGGACATGTGCCTCTACAGCCTCAACCACCACCTGGAGGGCGCGCCGAAGGTCTGGTACACTCTTCCCATCGATGAATCCAAAAAATTTGAAAATGTTTTAAATAGGACGTTTCCTGAGGCAAAAAGGTGCAATGCATACTCTTGTCATAAGAGGAACGTCGTTTCGCCGAGAGTCCTTAAGAAAAATGGGTTCCACCCAAAGATGATCATCCAGAGGCCCGGGGACGTCGTGGTAACGTTTCCATACGGGTACCACGCAGGGTTTAACCTAGGGTTCAACTTGGCAATGGCCAGGAACATAGGCACCCCCGAGTGGATACCCTTCGGAAAAGAAGCGGCCACCTGCGATTAAAATATTCCAGCTTCGCGTGGCATCGGGAGGCCATGTGCCTCTATAGCCTCAACCACCACCTGGAGGGCGCGCCGAAAATCTGGTACACTCTTCCAATCGATGAATCCAAAAAATTTGAAAATTTTTTGAATAGGACGTTTTCTGAGGCAAAAAGGTGCAATGGAGACTCTTGTCATAAGAGAAATGTCGTTTCGCCGAGAGTCCTTAAGAAAAATGGGTTCCACCCGAAGATGATCATCCCGAGGCCCGGGGACGTCGTGGTAACGTTTCCAAACGGGTACCACGCAGGGTTTAACATAGGGTTCAACTGGGCAATGGCCAGGAACATAGGCACCCCCGAGTGGATACCCTTCGGAAAAGAAGCGGCCACCTGCGATTAAAATATTCCAGCTTCGCGTGGCATCGGGAGGCCATGTGCCTCTATAGCCTCAACCACCACCTGGAGGGCGCGCCGAAAATCTGGTACACTCTTCCAATCGATGAATCCAAAAAATTTGAAAATTTTTTGAATAGGACGTTTTCTGAGGCAAAAAGGTGCAATGGATACTCTTGTCATAAGAGAAATGTCGTTTCGCCGAGAGTCCTTAAGAAAAATGGGTTCCACCCAAAGATGATCATCTAGAGGCCCGGGGACGTCGTGGTAACGTTTCCATACGGGTACCACGCAAGGTTTAACCTAGGGTTCAACTGGCAATGGCCAGGAACATAGGCACCCCCGAGTGGATACCCTTCGGAAAAGAAGCGGCCACCTGCGATTGCCAGTTGGAACAGGGGTTCACATTCGAAATGAGCATTTTTGAATCGAGCTCCGAGTCCCGAGCACCGAGCCCCGAGCCCCCAAACTCCCCAGCCCCCGATCCCCCGAGCCCCGAGTCGCCCAGCCCCGGGCCCTTCCACGAGCGGCGAGACATTTTCCGTTCGCACAGAATGCTCCAGCTCTCAGCTGTTTTCTTCAATACGGAATTAAGTTACGTATGACTGCCTTGGAAAACTTTCTATTTAGTCGTGTCTCAAGGGATGCTCCTGGAATGATCTTTTTTGAAATGCAATCAGTTGACTAAAAAGGGAGACAAAGGTCAGACCGGTCTCTTGTACTAGGGTCGATAATACCCAAAATAATCTGGCCGTCCAACTACAAAATGACTCTTGTAGTTCATCTACTTTTTTGTGGTATTCACTTGAGAGGGACAGAATGAAACATTTTTAATTTTTTGCAGGTGGACACGGAAAATTTTCCCCCCATAGTTTCAAATGAAACAGGAACTTCTTTCAACTACGGAGAGGTTCCAAACATTTCTACCTCATTTCTCCTCGAACCAAAGGAGGTCTCTACCATCACTCCTGCCCATACAAGCACATCAAATAAAATTTGTAATGTCGGCCTCGATTCTGATTTCAGAACACCTGTAAGTATAAATAATTATTAATGCGGAAATGATACCAATGATTCCCCCATAGTTTCAAATGAAACAGGAACTTCTGTCAACTGCGGAGAGGTTCCAAAAATTTCTACCTCATTTCTCCTCGAACCAAAGGAGGTCTCTACCATCACTCCTGCCCATACAAGCACATCAAATAAAATTTGTAATGTCGGCCTCGATTTTGATTTCAGAACACCTGTAAGTAAAAATGATTATTGATGCGGAAATGATACCATGATGCAGAGGTTCAAGTAAGATTGAGCTGGGATGAAGAAAACATGTTTAAGATGATTCGATGGAGGCCATTTTTTGTGTCAGAGTGACGTGCGATATATCGCATCGATTAGCCACATAATTTCAGCTCAAATTTTGAGATCGCACTTCAAACAAGATCATGTGAAGTCCAAAGTGCGCGTCTCAGGATAGGTCACACTTTTATCACTCACAGTCATATTATATCCAAAGAAAACCAACCCATCTGCCACTTCTGCAATTCATCACCTCTAACCATCAAACACATACTTATGGACTGCTCTTCCCTCCGATATCTCCAATCACAGATCTACTCCCCTACAATCAACAGAAATACAAACCCTCTTACATGCGATGAACCCAATATTACCACCAAAATTCTAAAACTCTTCACCTCTCTTAATTTAAAAATCTAAATTTTCGTTTATACTCCCATTTTCAAAATTATCTGTAAAGACGTTAATAGCCTGAGACATATATATATATTACACGCGGTGAATACGGGACAAGCTGATATTCAAAAGTGCATCGTGTCGTGATACTCTGTATGCGAGGGGTGTAAGCGATCATCATACTTCATAACTTGCTCGGCCACCACGCCTTTGTGCGCGGCGTCCTTGGTTACCTTTCAACAAGTGTAACCGAGCGACCGATAGTGACCTTAGTAAATATGCAAGTTTCGACTGTTTTCATATTGTGAGGACGTTGGTGTTGTGAACTGTGAACTTATTACGAACTGCCTTAACTCAGCATTGAAAATGTCAATTTTACAATTACCCCTCGAGCGCAAAGAAGTTCAAAGGATCAATAACATGAGAATTCGAGAAGAGGAGCGTAAAAAACGAATATTCAGACCGAAATATAATATTTACGTGAGTAAGGGAGAAAAAGTACCGTTTTAGGTTTTGCTTTCTTAAAGTTGAACATCTTTTTGTCGGGCTGCATTTTTAAGAAATTACGAATCCACACTAATTAAAATCGGTAAGGTAAACACAGATATTGAATTTAATTGCAAACTATCAGTGTTCACCAAACCAAGTGGCCTGATGATGATGTGTACGTAACATCGAAATAGCTATCGCCTAAAATCTAATGACAAGTTTTGTTTTTGTTCCTTCTTCAAATGCCACTGAAACGTGAAGGAATGAAGCTACGAATACGGAGAGCAATCCAAGTGTTAAGTCCTTAATTTCAACATTAACGTAGACATAGCTTTCTGAAAAATAGGCAGATTGACGTCATGTACCGCGATGATGCATCTTATGGTTTTACCCCCCTTGGAATCGTTAATCGTTATTTTTGAATTTATACTTGTTGTAAGACCTTCACGACCGTGGTTGAAAAAACTACGGAAGAGGAACCCATAGGAGGCACTGTCTGGCTCCATAACGTCAATGGACCACTAGACAAGGTACGAATTTCAGCATTCTGATACATGTTTCCTAGTCAAAATTTCACGTAGAACACGATACGCACAACGAAATTTACCGAAATTAACCTCCTTACAAAGATATTTAATGATTCTTGATGCGTGAATTCAAACCACCCGCTCATGAAAACTCAATGCTCTACGTGATTCACATCGCGCGCTAAACGTTATCATAAACGTCTCAGCGATATAAAAATCTGGCAACCTCAGTCTTGACGCTTTGGCTCAGCTATAGCAAATTGCTTATAGTTTGAACAACACATGGTGGGAAATGAACATTGCTCGGTTGAGAAGCTTGCTGAAACCGTTGTAGTGCGCGATTTGACTCACGTAGAGCTTTGAGTTTCTTGTGAGCAGCCAGTTCAAATTCCTCGTAACTGATGTGAAATAAAAACGTTAGTATCTTCGCTAAGAGTTGGTTTCAGTAACTTTTGTTGCGCGAATCGTATTCTACGTGAAATTTTGGTTCAGAAACATGTATTAGAATGCTAAAATTCGTACCCTGTCTAGTGGTCCATTGCCGTGTTTTTCAGAGACAGCATCTCCTATAATAATGAAACTACGAACTTGACGTTTGAATGGCTCTTCTTATCTTTGCTTTACTCTAAGACCCATAAACATGGCACACGATAATTTTATAGAGAACGAATTTAAGAGACGATATCAGGATATTCGATATTTTTCTCGGTTTCGGCCGAGTTTTATGCTCAATCTGAATTTTTATTAATTTTCAAAGAGACGAAATCAAGAATTTGATTTTTAAGGAAACGAAAAAAGCATAAGTCTTGTCTCTATATAATTCACCCAATTACTTTGCGTCTTCGGCCGAGCTTTATACTTTCTTGAGTATACAGTTGTTTCCCAAGGGAGCTTTCGCTCTTTGTGACACTTTTCATTTTGTGCCGTTCTGTGTACCCAAGCCTTGGACCTGTTGTCTGACGACCTTGCCTCCTTAATCCAGAGCAAGTTAAGAATATCAAGGTGTTTGCTGTACCAGGCTGGCCACAAATCAGTATTTTCTTTATACTTTTTCAGTACATTCTGAAGAAATTCAGTGCCTTTTCAACAGAGAGACTCCGTGCTTTTCCAGTACCTCCACTTGACGAAAGTCTAAAAATTTCAGATACTTGATATTCTCGCTCGAAATTGCGACAAAAATAACGCAGACACATTTCAGGTGGCTTGAAAATTAATTGACTGCACAATTGCGATCTTGCAGGCAACACTACTCTAAGAATTGCACTGGAAAAAAAAGTAGCTTGGATCTAGAGTCCGAACTCTTGAAAACATTGACAAGAAAAAATACTCTTGATTCAATCGGATTTTTGCTTGAATCAAAAAGAAATCCGCTTAAATTAAGAGGCTTGGATCTCGCTTTGAGCAAAAATCCGATTGAATCAAGCGTATTTTTTCTTGTCAATGCTTTTCAAGAGTCTGGACTCTCGATCCAAGCTACTTTTTTTTCCAGTATGACGCGCAAGAGATTGCGTCCTTTCCAGGCTTACTTGAAAGGCACGCGTGTTATGAAGGAAACACTTCCGAACCTTCTTGCGGAATTTCCGCACTTTTTTAGTACTTCCGGACCGCCCTTAGGAAATCAATACTATTTCCGAAATTTACGGAAATTTCGTGCTAGTAGACACCCTGACCATGGAGTTATGTAACTCACTCTTGAGTTGAAAAATATTGAGTCGTTCGTTTATATATGTATATTCGTTGCAGGTCGATTCAGAGGCGTTGAAGGCTCAAGCAGACGCGAGAAAAAAGGCGGAAATTTTGGATAAGCAACAAGACGAAGCGATTCAGCAGCATGAGAATTACACTTACCAACTGGCTGTTCGACTCGCTGAACAGGCAGAGAGGGTAATATTTTCAAAATTATATCTTTAGTTAAAGTCCAATTGTTTCGCAGTTCCTTATCGTTACTTTTTCTCCAAGGTTGATGCAAAAATATGTGTGGAATCACTGTTCAGTCCCCCCCGACACTCGATATTATCAATGTTCTGCGAAACAGAATGGAGATGTTGCATGTGTGAGGAATTTGCGATCTGACAATTGATTTTTATGTAAAAGTTCGCGAGAAACACGATAGTGCCACTGGTTTTCTCTGAAATCAACTCCCATAAGCTCAAAAAAGCTCTCAAGTTGAAGCCGAAATGGAGGGGATATCCCACGCTATCCTGAGAGTTCACCTCTGCATCAAAACAAACTCTCCATGCAAAGATAGGGAGCAAATACATTGACAGGGCTGCTACTTTACTTGGGGACTCCAAAACTGATAACACGGCAACCCTGTCAATGTATTTGCTCCCTATCTTCGCATGGGGAGTTCGTCTTGATGTAGAGGTGGACTCTCAGGGGGGGGGGGGGGGATATCCCCTCCATTTTGGCCTCACTGAGAGCTTTTTTTGAGCTTGGGAGATGATTTCAGAGAAAACCAGTGGCATCATCGTGTTTCTCGCGAACTTTTACATAAGAATTAATGGTCAAATCGCAAATCCCTCACACATGAAACACCTCCATTGCCAACTTGAGTTCCACTTTTGACTTTTAATATTGTAGGGGGTTGCGCCCCCTGGCTTCTTTGCCGCCCAACAACCCCCCCCCCCCTTAGGCGTTTAGCGCCTTTACCAATCGTGATCTGTTTGTCTCCTGGTAACCAATCAGACATTGATTGTTTACTGGTTGTAGGACACCGCTCTAAATAAACCTCTTCCAGCAGCTATTATTTCGATAACAGTGAAGAAGTGAGCTGAATATGTTGAAATGAAACAATGGAAATAAAAGTCAGGTAAAAATTTAAAAGATGAATACGCTCAGTTTTTCTGCGTAAGGAAACGAAAGGAAAGGAAGTCAGGAAAAAAGACCTCACTAAATCCCCGAAGAAAAGGAAAGGATTTAGAAGTGTTTTAAACGAAATCTTCACCTACCCGGCCCACTGGTAGGACTTGCCGAATTAGGAAGGCCCTGGAACTATATTCCCGTTTGATGAATTAAAAAAACTATTGGGGTAAAACAAGAGTAAGAAAAAGGAGGATAATAAATAAGGGAGTGGGATTAGATGACCAAGAGACAGAGAGGCAAAGGAAGGAATCGTGGAAGTTCTTGCTTACGCAAAATGGAGCGATAGGTTATGTAGGTGTACCTGTGCCACAATGGAGCGATGGGTTATGTACGTGTACCTGTGCCACATCGAATTCTTTGATATGAAAAATTTGTTGATCCCCTGTGGAGAGCTGGATTCCATGTCGAAGCAAAATGTGTAAAGTGATATTTGTATTGTAAATTAAGTGGGATACCTAGTCAGTGTAATTAATTTTACTTACTGGAAACTTTCTTAGACGTTCACTCCAACTTTCTTGATTTACTTTAAAATGTATTATTAACCATTTGAACATAATTATGAGATAGAGCTTTACCATCTTTAAGCCACCCAGTACATTGAGTTACATGAATGAAATGAAATTAATTTTTACAAATATGCGCTAAGTGGTGGTATAATTTCACTTTCAACCAAATCAGAGAAAACTCAAATCTCTGCAGAAGAAAACTCCCTTCTGATCAAATCTCCCCGGCAGTGACGCCATAATTACAAATTGACTTTTAACTATAAAGGTGTCATACAGATCATGAGAATTTACGCAAAAGAAAAGAGTTACGTGGGAAAGGCACAAGACACTAGGTCGCTTTTATTGCAAGGAAAGAAACGATCGGAGTTAGAAAAATCAATTGAGACAAGCGAACAATTCTTTTTTCTTGTTCGAAGAACATCTTTCGTAAATAAAAGTCAAGAAAAGAGATATTGGATTAATGCGACTAATTTACTTTGATGGCTAAGAAAAGATGTCTCTTTGATTGGTGTGATTTTTTCATTCGTGTTTCAAGATTTCCCTTCATTCCATTCATAGCGTTTCTTTAATTTCTTTAATGTTAGCGAAAGCGACAGTACAATCAAGAAATCACACAGTACCATCAACTTCATCAACGGCCAGAGAGTAGACGAGAATTCGATCTGAACGACCCCGATTACCTCAGGAAATCAAAGCCGGCAAGAACGTCCGATGATGACCCGACTTTGACAATATCATCTGCACAAATGTGAGTGTAATGATTATATAAAAGTAAGTTGTTCTTTAAAGAGTTCTTTTAGGAGTTTAAGTAGGTAAGTTGTTTCCCAAATTAAGTTGTTCTTTTATTATGTGTACTTTGGCTGATTAAGTTGTTTCTCGATGATTATATATTTATACTTCGCCTTTGACTCTAACATCGTCCTGCGACCTAAATTGCATCTCCTTCGGAAAGGCAGTCTCAAGGCTTTCAAATTCCGGGCAATATGCCTCCTGAAGTCCCGGGCTAAATTTTACCTCAGGATGTTATAGTTTCTTCTTCACTGCAGGGGCTGAGAGGGAATTCACATGTCATATTTGGTACTTTCAGGAGGACACGCAGTAAATAAAAACATATAACGAACCGCAAGTAAGACACCCTAAGGAGGGAGATTGATTGGTCACATTTCCGCCAAATACAATTGAATTGAGGAAAGAGAAACCCCACCCGATACTCATTTGCGAAAATTTCTCCGGCCCTTTTAAAGAAATTAACATCGAAAAGAAGAGCCCTAATTTTTCCAGACCTAGTTTCTCCTCGCCCACCGCGATTTTTGAAATTGAGATAACCAGCAGCTGCGCAAAGTTACACGTCTAAATTGCGCATGCAACTCGTCCAAGTAATTATATCCAAATGTGCGCGTGACACAGATATCCAAATGTGCGCGTGACACAGCTACGTCCGGACGAGTGACGCTGTTATTTTAAAAGTTGGTGCCACTGCTTTCCTTCTATTTAGACCCATTAAAACTATCGGTTTTCGGTGAGGCAAGCTGCCTTGCCAAGAATCGATTATTTCACGAACATCGATGCTTACTTTCAAGAATCGGCACTGAACTTGTCCTGGTAAGTCCATCCAATCGTTCTAAGTTGAGGTTCACCTTTTAATCAGTCATATTTTATCAGGGTGTCCGGTATTTTTTAATTTTGAAAAATCCTGAGATTTTCCTGATTTGTCCTGATGTTTTAAAAAAGTTCCCGATTTTTTCATTTTGAAAATTCCTGATATTTTACCGATTTTTCTCGACTCCTTGCACGGTAGGCAAAAAGCAGTATGACTTCCTCCGCTGAGGAGATTCGCGTAGGACAAATTCCTGATAAAACGTCCGATTTTCCCGATTTTGACCTGATCGGCCAAAATTCCTGATATTTTCCGGTTTTTCCTGATGCTAGACACCCTGTTTATGTTCGTATTTGGGCTTAGTACAGTTATTGTTGATTGTCTGTTTAGATTCGACGGAGAAGACAGATCTCTCGCCGAGAGGCGAAAAAGACAGCAGGAACAACAAAAAGAGTGGCTGAATCGACAGATAGAGGAGAGGAAAAATACTTTGGACACCGAATTACGCTCGAATCATCAGTATTTCGAGTATTTACTCGAGCGAAACCGTCGAGCGATACAACTCGACGCTCTGGAGAAAGAATGCAACAAACACATGCTTCAGACTGTGCAACACTACAATACGATTTTGGTGAGAGGAATGAATTAGAAGTTCCGTTGAACCGCGTTAAGCAGAAAAGGAACCAAGCCATATCAGCTACTGCCAAATTGACTTGCCAATTGAATTGGACGATTTAATAGTTTTCATGATAACGATTGTGCGGATTTTTGTGCAAATTTCAGTGAACTTTCTGCATAAAACGATGAAAACTCCTTGAAATTTCCTAATGAATCCGCGAAAGCGTTCTCTTGTAAGTAATTAAAATGCTCGGTTCTTGCACGGAGAAAAAAACTTCGTGCATGGGACCCGAAGTTGAAGTCACTTGGATCTCTGAATTTTTCTGATCACGCATCCGAAAATTTGAGGTCGAGCTGCCGAAGTTAGGATCAGACATCGAGGCACTTCGGTGTGTACCGGAGTACTTCAGATGTGTGACCCGAACCCTTCGGTATAAATCGAAGTACTTCAGAAGATGTCTGACCCGAACTTCGGCAGCTAGACCTCAAGTGTTTAGATACGTGATCCGAAAACTTCAGAGATCCATACGACCTCAACTTCGAGTCCCGCGCACGAAGTTTTTTTCTCCGTGTGGCAACAGCTGATGCGGCTTAGTTCCTTTCTGGTAAACGCGGTCCATTTCTGCTTTTGATCTTTCATTCCGAATTTTAATTGAATAACAAGAGATGGTCGTAGTTGGAGAGGTACGTGACAGGAAGGGCTCATGGTGTTTTCTGCAACTTTTGACGTCGATTTACCATTGTTAGTCGATGTTTTTAGAATTGTGCGTAGCTGATTTAGGGACAGAATAATGCTAAACGGGGAAAAAATTGTCGAAAAAAGCTACCGCTTGGCGATATTTAACACTTAAGAAAAACGCTTCAAATATATGTTTTCAATGCCCGCGGCGATTACGACTGAGGGCACCGTGGATAATCCGAAACAACATAGCGCGGCAGGAAAAACAAACTCAAAATTTTGAGAACAATATTTAAAAATAGGGACGCTTACTGTCAGGTTTCAAAAAGAGGTAGAGCTATTGGTTCAAAATAGATTATTTGCGTATACCTGTTAGATCAAGTATGGAGACATCACTCGCAGATGAACTTTCTGAGAAAGTTTTGGGATGCCAATGTGCACTCTCTTTAAACTCTTGGAAACAAAGAGGATAGAAAGAGCGAAAAAAAAGCCGCTCAGAGTGACCGCATACAACGGAGGCGCGGATAAATCGAATCTACTGACGTGAAATTGCAGTTCCATGAGATTCCATACTCTACGAAGGCTGGTGTGAAAATGCAGACGAAGTTTTTGCTTAATGACGTCTCATTAATGAGACAATAGTGCCTGTAAATATTTGCAGGTTAACCCAGCGATGCACTTATCAAAAAGCCAGAGTTCAGTTTTGAATATTGAGGCCTAAAAAACACGGCGAATGGTGTCACGTTTGTATGCTTATAACGTAAAAGATAAGTATTCCGGAGCACACTTAAGCGCAGTGGTGACATGGTCGTAAGTATACAGAATTAAGCGAGTTTGAAAACGATTTGAAACGCCTTCAAAATGACGAGTAGGTAACATGTGAGGCAATCAATGGTTTGCAGCGCGTAATGAAAGACCCACACAATGGCGGCCGAATTCAAAGAGATAAATGTGTGGTATCTCATTCGGAAGGGGGGGGGTTGTTTTTTTTTTAAGTTAGTACATTTCGCGCTTAGGTTGAGGGAAAAATATCTCACGTTGAGATGCTCCTTATGATAATAAAGCTTCGTACAGGTGGCATCCAAAACTGTCATGATCTTTTCCAATTTCCAAAAGATTTCGGTAATTTCTTTGAAACAGGTTTGATTTTCATCTTCCGTTGAGTTTAAAAAAAAAAAAATTAACAGAAAAAATCAACAAAAACACCTAAATACGTTTTTAAAAACGTACTGAAATAGTTCTTCTTGAGGTAACGGAGAATGTTACCAACAAGAGCTCTAGGAAAATTGGTTTTCCTTTTAATTTTGGATCATATTTTGATGCCAAAATGTATCAATAAAATTTTACCAACAGCGTCATTCGTTAGATTCATAAAAATACAAAAGACATGTTTACCGACGGATTGGTAGAACAAACAATGTGTAAAAATAGAGAGTAACAAAAAATTCATGCGATCGCGTGAAGACAATCCCACGTTATTCCGTTTTTCGAAGATGCGTTTGCAGCTCAGGCCGGGTTTTCACATCTGAGTCGGGGATGTCGAGGTCTTCATTCTGTGGAAAGTTCTGGAATTTCTAGCTTACCTTATCCACCACGAATTCAGATTGTGCAGGATGCTTGATGCTGTAGGCACTTGCTTGCGTTTTAAAAAAGAGAATTCTTCACGGAAGAAAATTCAGCGTTGCACGTTCAATTTTCCCGTTCAGTTCTCCAGCGACGAAAGAGGCTTGACGAGAGCGACAGTGGTTTTCTTGCTGTTCTTCGTGCGACGGATGAGCCGATGAGCATCAACGAATTCCTGCGATAGTCAAATTTTCTGGTTAAAAAATGTCGTTTGAAATCTACATGAGGCATAATGGACCACTAGACAAGGAACGAATTTAAGCGTTCTGATACGTGTTTCCTAACCAGAATTTTACGTGGAACACGATTTGCGCAACGAAAATTACTGAAATCAACTCCTAAGGAAGATATTAACGTTTTTATTTCACATTGGTTACGAGGAATTTGAAAGACACAAGAAACTCAAAGCTCTACGTGAGTCGAATCGCGCACCACAACGGTTTCAGCGAGCCTCTCAATCGAGCAAACGTTTATTTCCCACCATGTGTTTTTAACTATAAGCAATTTGCTATAACTGAGCCAAAGCGTCAAGATTAAGATTGCCAGATGTATATATCGCAAAGACTGTCATGATAACGTTTAGCGCGCGATGTGAATCACGTACAGCATTGAGTTTTCATGAGCGGGTGGTTTGAATTCACGCATCAAGAATCATTTATTTCTTCGTAAGGAGTTGATTTCGGTAATTTTTCTTGTGCGCATCGTGTTCTACGTGAAATTCCGGTTAAGAAACCTGTATCAGAATGCTGAAATTCGTACCTTGTCTAGTGGTCCATTAAAGCAAAAATAACCCAACACCAACGACAAGGAGATCATGCAGAGAAATAATATTGTGTAAGCATAAAAACAAGGCAAAAGCCACAAAAACAAGAAACTTCATATAATTTCTAGTCACTCATTGGTGAGTCTTGTGGGTGATTGCGGGGTTTTCGTTCATGCGAGTCAATTAGGATCATTTATTTTTGCGTTTTTTGTCAATCTTATTGAAGCTTTGGAGCTGTTGTACGTGAGCGTGATTTCGTCTCAAACGGATGGACTTTAGAAAATCTGACCAGGCCTCAATTTTATTGAAGCTTTGGAGCTGTTGTGCGTGAGCGTAATTTCGTCTCAAACGGATAGACTTTAGAAAATCTGACCAGGCCTTCCAAAAATTCGCTAGAAATCAGTTGCGCGGGAAGATTCGACCGAATAATAGGATTCTTCGATTGACTATTATGCCGTGCTAAGGAAAAACGCTGGATAAGCCATCAGGCGTTGCCAAATTTTCTTCGATAAAATACGAATTTCCAGGTAAACTTATGAATATTTTTCTTCCAATTTTTCAGGGGATATTCTTTGAATGTTGATCTAAAGTTCCTGGAAGTGTCAAGGAAAAATATTCATGACTTTCCTCACATATAAACATTTTATCAAAGGAAAGGCTACTCTCGAATGTTCATACGGCGTTCTTCCTTAGCATGGCAGTATTATCGTCGTTTTCATGCACTGAAAAAAAATTCTCGGCGTTTTTACCAAGGTCCGTTGGTACCTTTACCCTTCACCATCTCACTTTTTTTTACCAATTATTGGTAATTTTACCAAGACAGACTGGTAAGCTTACCTAAAAACCTGTATTTTTACTGTTTTTTCAGGTAAGAATACCACTTTTATTGGTAATCAATTCCCGGTAACTTTGCCATTTTATCTCGGTAATTCTACCACAGTAGATAAAAAATATTGGCGCTTTTACCAAGGTCCAGTAAAATTACCGAGAAAGTTCAATAATTTTACCAAGATTTCTCGGTAAAATTACCAATTCCATAAATGGTAATTTTACCAAGAAAAAACTGGGATCAAATAGAACCCTGAATTCTTGGTAATTTTACCCTTTTCTTAGTAAATACACCGAGATTTTTTTTTCAGTGTGTCCTTTTCCGTTGGACTAGCTTCATATGAGAGCTCTCCTCCACGTACAAACTTAGCTCACTAGAAAAAAGTCGCTTGGATCTAGCGTTCAGACTCTTCATAACATTGACAAGAAAAAATACTCTTGATTCAATCCGATTTTTCCTTGAATCGAAGAGCCGAGCCTTCTAATTAAGGCGGATTTCCTTTTGATTCAAGCTGAAATCTGATTGAATCAAGAGTCCTTTTTCTTGTCGATGTTTTCAAGAGTCTGGACTCTAGATCCAAGCTTGCTTATTGTCCAGTGCTCTTAAATAAGCTCATCGATGTCTTTCCTGGCCCTCTTATTGGTGAGGTTTTTTTTGTTTTGGGCCTGAGCGTACTTTCGTCTTAAATCGGATAGACTTCAGAAAATCTGGTCAGGCTTTCAAGTTATCAAACGAAATTCGCTGGAAATAAGTTGCGCAGCAAGATCCGACCGATCAGGATTCTTCGATTGACCATTTTCGTCGTTTTATATTCTTTTCCATAGGACTAGCTTCATGTGAAAGCTCCTCTCCGCGCAGCTCTCAAATAAGCTCATCAATTATGCGTTTTCCGGCTCTCTTATTGGTAGGGAGTAATCAATGAGCCTCTAGGAGGCCTCTACGTGGAGAAGAACCTTGGTAAAAAGGATATCTTTAAAATCTCACGACTGTTCAATAAAAAGTCAAAAAGTCCTATCATGCAGTCTGAACGAAAGTCTTAAATGTTTCACGTGTTCCCCGAAGAAATCTTTTGAGTTTCGGGCATTTTCGCCGGGGAATGAGGTCCCTTATTACAGATCCGGTCACAATTTATTATGAAGCGCAAAAAAACCTTTCTCGCATATTCAGAACAATGAAAAAGAGCTTGGTCTCGTTTCCGCTGACTCAGAGAGTTTGACGCAGAGTAGAAAAGTTGGATGGGGCGAAACTCGTGATACAACTGTTCCGACTTTCAGATGGGTAAAATTTCATATCCACGAAATAAAGGAAAATGTGCACGTTTTTCGGCTAGCTCAAAGACTTTAACGCGGAGTAGAAAAGTTGGATGGGACGAAACTCGTGATACAACTGTTCCGACTTTCAAATAGGTAAAATTTCATATCCACAAAATAAAGGAGAATGTGCACTCTTTTCGGCTAGCTCAAAGACTTGAACGCGGAATAGAAAAGTTGGATGGGGCGAAACACGTGATACAAATATTTTGACTTTCGAGTTCCGAGAAGATAAAATTACAGATCCACAAAACGAAGGGGGACATGATGTTCTACACCTCTATCATCCGGTTAGTCAAACCCAACTTTCAATTCGCATAACTGAACTTATGATGTTCCGCAAGAACTGATCAAAGAAGTTTGGTTGCACGAATCAAAAAATCAAGAAGAATTGTCTGCACTCCTGGCCCGATTACACGGCATCCTATGCTCTATTGTCCCATGTTCATTCTCACTAATCACAAGTTTGCACTTCAATTTGTGTTGTGATTTGGCATTTTATTGATCCTTAAAATGATGCATACAATGGGTACGAATACAAATAAAACAATATGTGACAAAGGCTTATTTCCCACCACGAACTGTACTCTTGCTTGGCAGGGAAGTAGTTTTAGACTTCCGCAATTTTCTGCAACGCGCTGGGTTTTCGCAAAAAGGTCGACACATCACGCAGATCAACACTTTCCTTACTTTTTGGCTTATTTTTGGATGTGTGCCAAAGTCTATCACCCCACCTAAGTTGATAGTCTTAGAACCTTCAAACAAAGAAAAAGTACTATCTCAGCCTCCAAAATTATTATACCACGCGGTCGAGAACAATACATTGTGGACGTATTTCTGCTAAACGGAACTATAGGCGAGTGGGGAAGACGGGGTGTGCTCTAGAAATCTGCGTAAGAAACAATGTAAAAGCGGGCGAGATTCTCTTTGGAGAGATGTAAAAGCGAGTTTTTACATTCTGGAAAACGGAACGGAGCGCCAACTGTGAGCGGCACTTATGAGCCATGGAAATGTGACAAGAACGTTGCGAACAGGGCTCATGAGTTAATACGTAGCCGGATGGTAGCGCGACACGGAAAAAACAAGACTAGTGTTGAGCACTACTGGCCGTTTAGTGGGGAGTAGTTGAGGGCCGGCGTCTAAGCTCTGTGCAGCTCAACACCGGAAGGCAGTACAGGTGGGCACTGAACATGAGTAGTGCTAATCAGATGCCGCGAGACGTAGTTGCGCTTAACAGGTGTAAATTCACCCATGATATATCGGAGTCACGATAGCCTGGTGGTAACGCGCTGGTGAAGACCACGACGCGCTGGTGATCGAACTCGGGATGCGCCGGTGGAAGCACCGGCGCATCCCGAGTTCGATCCCAGGCGGAGGCGTTTCATATTTTACGCTCGCTCCAAAGTCACTTTAGGGCTTGACACTACTTCTTCCTTAGTGACCCAGCCTCGAGCTGTTTAGTGCCCAGCACTACTCTGACTTGCTGGCTCCATTTGATCTAACCCTCGTTAGTGCCCAGCACTAACATGTAGGTCCCAACCCTAAGCTCGTTTTTTCCGTGGACGGTTCCGTCGTTGCCGCTGACGTCACTGGCGCTTTATAATTCCCTCTCATTCTAACAGCCCTCAACTAACGAGCACACCCCTCCTAATCCCACCTGTCTCTGGCTCCGTTTGACAGAAATACGTCCGATGGTACCCTTGCTACACTGGAAAAAAAAATCTTAAATTTGCCACCAAGAAGTATTTCTTCATAAATAAAGAATTTTGCTGGTTAATATAAGCTACTTTTTTGCTTAACCCAAGTATTATTTTTCTTGAATCAAGAAAAAGTCAGCTTGAAACAAGATAAAGAAAATTCTTGGCGGCAAGATCAAGAATTATCATGCTTGATCCAAGCTACTTTTTTTTCAGTGTATGGTCTACTTGAATTGCACACTGTTTCTGTCGATTTCGGTCTCAACTTATGATCTCAATTGCAGGCAGAGCAAAGGAAAATGGAAGAACAGCAGCGGGAACGCCAGAAAATTGAAAACGATCGGGCAGAGATGACGAACACTGCTAACAGCGACCTTTTAACGGAGCCTTTGGAAGTGGGGTTCATGAGTGCTTTTGGACCGGGGAGAATCAATTGTCCCATGTACAAGGGAATGACAAATGCGATGATTCAGAAAATAAGAGAAACCCAGCACGTTCAAAGAGAAGAGAAAAAGGTATATTTTGCCGTGTCTTTTGCAATCCGCGTATAATTTTACTGCTCGTTGTTTTTCTTTTATTTTTAGTACCTATTTAAGAAAGATGTGCTGTTGAAAAATTAATCTCGACCTAATATTGAGTCTTGCTATATTCAAGGGTTCTATGCAACGTGCCGTCGGTAGGTGCCCGTTGAGCCTTCAAAGGCTGTGAAAAAATTTAAACAATTAACTACTATAACAAATTTTTTATCTTTGGGGCTTATTTTTATTACTATTTAGATCCGTAACCGGTGGATGCAAATCATGACTTTAAAATTACTCGAAATAATAAAGTTGAAACAAAGAAAAAACATCCTGTTCGTCATGAAATCTTGGAAATATGGATGAATTGTTTATCACATTATCGGCGCTGCAAAATGAGATGTGAACTGCGAATTGCGAAAATTTTATCGGTATAGACATTTGCGGGATTGACATCCACGATGCCTATAGGTGGAAATGTTTTTGGTGGAAATTTGGCATCATTTAGCGACGCTGCCGTGATGCAACACGGCTCATTACTGCCGTGCTAAGGAAGAACGCCGTATGAGCCTTCAGACGTTGCCAAGTTTCTTCAAATAAAAACCAAATTTACTGGGAAAATTGTGAATATTACTTTCCAAAATTTTCGGACAATTTCGAACGCATTTCTATCTAAAACATATGAAAAGTTCACAGAAAAGTGTGCATGAGTGTAGTCAAAAATACATGTTTGATCGGGGGAAATTTGGCAACTCTCGAATGTTCATACGGCGTTCTTCCTTAGCGCGGCAGATTAAAACTCCGAGGATTTCATGGTAAACACGATTGTAAATGCGACGAGGACTTCACGGTAAACACAATTGTAAATGCAACGAGGACTTCACGGTAAACACAATTGTAAATGCAACGAGGACTTCATGGTAAACACAATTGTAAATGCAACGAGGACTTCATGGTAAACACAATTGTAAATGCAACGTACCTAGAGAACCTGTTGGTGTGCCGTGTGGTGGTATGGTAGATGGATGGTGAAAAGTCAATAAAATGAACGGAAAACGAATCTCGTGACGAACAAGTATATATGAATAGATGAATGTACAGTACAGCAAGGTGGTACTAAAAACTATCAGCTGGGCTGCAGGAGCGACTGCACCGGATGAGTGGTGGCCCGAGCGGTGGCCAAAATCAGAGTGTGGGTCCACTGTCTCCTGGTTGCTGTTCAAGGGGATGATCATGATGAAGGGAAAGCCGGGAAAGAAACAGGTAGGGAATCATCCGTGCCAGGCGGTACCGGGCTAACGGGAGTTCCCGAGGTCGCGGAATCGCGAACAAGGGAGGTGCCTGGCGCGGGGTTGTGAGGATGAAAAGGAGAGACAGGCGCTAGGCTGATGGATAGAGGAAGATGTGGAAAAGAAGCCTGGCCTGACGCCATACTACGTGTATAGTTGAAGGAACACCACAAACCTTGGGCGCTTTCTTTTTCTGATCGGCGGAGCCACCGGTGGAAATCCACTGGTCGCCGTTTTCGTGCGAAATTGTCCGCGATCAGTCGGGAGTTTAAGAACGCACTTCCCACCAATGTAAACAAATGGCTCACGGACGATTTGCAGCTCATCTACGAAGAAGCTAGCTGACTCAAACCTGTGCGCTTGTGGACAAATTGCGACTATCGACCACATACTTCTTCAGTGCAATCAACTCAGTAAATTATCATCACTCATCGATCAACTGAGCCAAATTGGCGTCTACTTCCCTAACAACTCAGCCATCCTATTAGCTGATCCATCTAAGAACAAATACTCCATTCTGAGCAACTTCATCCGCTCCAACAAAATAATTATTTAACTTTAAACTTCCACTCCCTACATCCACACATGGAATAATCCAAGCGAGTAATCAACATCCTAGTTTCTTCTACCATCAATAATCAATAATCTAGCCATCTACTGACCATATATCTTATTAGTGGCTGTTTGTGCCCATGCACTAAGGCCAAAGCACCGTTACAGGGCAAAAAGTAAAAACTAAAAAAAATAAACAAATGGCTTTCTTCCTCTCTTCAAACCTTTGACTCAATGATACTGCAATAGTGTAAATATATACTCAATGTACGAGGAAAAATAACACTATAAAAACCTGAATATTACATAATCCAATGCATAGGCGACAGTGACGATGCAGAAATATAGGACTCGGCAGCGGCGGCGCGCGAAGTACCCACGTTTTCTCGTTTGTTAGTTTATTTTTGGCCTGAGGTTAGGCTGAAGTAGGGTTAGATTGTCCACCGGTGGACCGGTGCACGGAGAAAAAAAACTCGTGCGTGGGACCCGAAGTTTAGGTCATATGGATCTCTGAAGTTTTCAGATTGAGCATGTGAACACTTTAGGTCTAGCTGCCGAGGTTCGGATCACACATCTGAAACTTCAGTTCATACATCTGAAATGCTTCGGTTCTCACATCTGAAGTACTTCAGATGGAAGAACTGAAGTTTCATATGTGTGATCCGAACCTCGGCAGCTAGACCTAAAGTGTTCAGATGTTAAATCCGAAAACTTCAGAGATCCATATGACCTAAACTTCGGGTCCCACGCACGAGTTTTTTTTTCTCCGTGTGGATTGGAAGTACAGGAAAATCTCCGGTAATCCGAGCGGTAGATTAGTGGGCACGAATTCACCGGCGCACGGTGGATCGAGTCAATTAGCGAGGTCGGACATTAAATTTGTGACTAAAACTGCCAATTTTGATGTTTATTTCGTCACATTTTAAAATTCGAAAGATGCTGGTAGAAGAAAATTTTACGAGAAAACCGTTGGAACCAATTTCGGAACTCCAAACTTTGTATAAAAGGAGTTATGAACGTATAAAGTTTCCAAATTTTGTTCGACCTCTCCTATCGACTCGATCCATTGTGTGGCGGTGGCTCCACCGGTCATGACGTCAGCACAAACCAGTGAGTTAAAAAACGCGCCGATCGGTCGTACCGCCAGTCAATAAAAAAAAACCCCTCTTGAGAACTACCACCACAGCCGTACGTTCTTATTCTTAAGAAAGCCAGAACGCCTGCAATTATTTGTGTATGCAAAATGGACATCCTGAGAACACGAATAGTTGCATCCAGACCTGACCTTACCAGATTGACAGAAAAAATTTCTGAGGCAAAATTCCTTGATTTTTCTGACTTACTTCGCTGAGTCAAATTGTTTCTTTAAAGTTGTTTTTTCAAGATTTGAGGTCCTCATTGGAAAGCAAATTCATCAGTATTTTTTGGCGAGCTTATTATAATGGACCACTAGACAAGGTACGAATTTCAGCATTCTGATACATGTTCCTTCACCAAAATTTCACGTAAAACACGATGCGCACAACGAAAATTACCGAAATCAACTCCTTCCGAAGATATTAAATGATTCTTGGTGCGTGAATTCAAACCACTCGCTCATGAAAACCCAATGCTCTACATGATTCACATCGCGCGTTAAACGTTATCATGAATGTATCTGCGATAAAAAAACCTGGCAACCTCAATCTTGATGCTTTGGCTCAGCTATAGCAAATTGCTTATAATTTGAACAACACATGGTGGGAAATGAACATTGCTCGATTGAGAAGCTTACTGAAACCGTTGTAGTGCGCGATTTGACTCACGTAGAGCTTTGAGTTTCTTGTGAGCGGGCAGTTCAAATTACTCGTAACCAAGGTGAAATAAAAATGTTAACATCTCCGTTAGGAGTTGGTTTCAGTAACTTTCGTTGCGCGAATTGTGTTCTACGTGAAATTCTGGTTAAGAAACATGTATCAGAATGCTTAAATTCGTACCTTGTCTAGTGGTGCATTAGCAAATAAGCATATTTCATCAAGCTGTATTGAAGGTTTTGATCTATTTTGGGAGTTATTACGTTAATTGAACTTTTTTTCAAAAATCGTTTAGAAGCAGCGTGAAGCTGAGGCAAAAAATGAAAGAAGATGGCAAGATCTGATGGAAACTCAAGCAAAACAAGCAGCTCAGGAGATGGATGTAATGCGTCAAAAACAAAGGTATGAGAGAGCAAGGAGTGCATTTTGTGAGAAACAATAAACCGACCCCTTTTTTCCGGACACGGAAATTTTTTTTTTTGGTGTGAGCGCAAACAATATGATATGAGTACCAGAATTTTCATTGCTTTCACAAAGAATGATCTCAGCTTCTGACGATGTTTAACTCGATAAAAACCATTTTCACATTCAACAAAATGAATTGATTGGTAGCAAGCATTTCATTGCACTAATTTTTCTTCTGAACAACATGAAACTAATTGTGAACATTCTCAAAACTCTAATCATACATGGTCCGATGAAAAAATAGAAAGCTGAACGTTTCCATCTATTTTACATTGCTTTTCTTTGTTCACTTAAGATTAAGTTCATCATTTTATAGTTTCACTTTCAACAAATGGGATGAAGTTTTCAAGGCTTATTTGAGACAGAGAGGACTGTCTCATTACAATCGCAATAGTCAAACTATTGGGAGGCTAACCTATATTTAAACTGTTCCTTCTACTTCATGAATAGAGAGAGAATAGAGTGACCTAAAAAAATTGTGTGTATAATTTTTGGCGAAATCCTCAAAAGGACAAAAGAAAAATTACACACAATTTTGCACAATTACGGCGATCAGTCAACCGTTAAAGAGGTACAGTGAAACAAATTAAGATAATTGATTTCGTAGTATACAATAAAAATGAAGTTTCAATAGATTTTCTTCTCTGCTTTTAGGGAGATGCAATACAGAATAGCACAAGAGAATAAATTCTTGAGTCAAGAGCAAGAAGAAAAACTCAACAACTTTAAAAAGTATGTGAATGTGAATGTTCCAACAGCTGAGTACTTCAACAAATTTGGGACAAGTTCTCGATAAAGAGATCCTTTGATTATTCATGACGCCGCTTAAGAATTTCAATGGGGGGTAAAATTTGCCTCTGACCGATTCATTCTACAAGAACATTAAAAACTCATTGAACATGAAGATGAACACTGAAGTCATAATGCTGGCACATGGTGAAAACTATCCACCAAGACAAGTAATAGCTGAATCTTCCCTTGTGACTGAGAGCCTGCTTGGCCCTTGGCACTAAATGCACTCTCATTCTCTTGAAGTAATTTCTCATGAGGTTTCATCATCTTCAGGGCAGAATGATAGAGAGGATCTCTAGTTATGGTCCTTCATTTTAGACTATTCCCACAGTGTACCACAAGAGGAAGTTGTGTTGGCTATCTAGTTCCGCACAACAGCTTCAAAATGTACTGGTCTTGGGAATAAACTGATAAGGGACGTATTATCCTTCATTGATATCAAATTAGTCATTGTTCCTTCATTTCTTTCATTTTTCCAAAATGTATTTTTATCTACTTCAATTCTATTTTTGCGTTGACATGAACACGGATCATACTGCTAGAAAGATGTTATTTGTATTTTTGATGAATTATGTGTACTTCAAAGATTTAACATTTGATAAGAGTTCGCAATTTTTGAAGAGCATTCCAAAGAGGCAACTCTTATAAACATGCTACAATGACAAAAAGAGGGTCAGAAGCTTGATGGGACAAATATGTTTGGAGAGGCTCTTTCTTTAAGAGAGAAAGTGGTTTTTAATTATTGATGCCTATCATTTACAAGAGTAAACAACCAAGCAAGCCAATTAAGGATCACTCAGTTTTCCACACCTTCTATCCCGGCGAAGACTCAAAATAAGCTAAGGCAAGGAGATTTAAAAACAATTTGATTTCTTATGCTTGGACTAATTCACGGAGCATACATGACAAAAACAGTTGCACTTCTTAAACCTGGTAAAGTACTGTTAAAGAGACCACGAGACAAAGTCAGAAAATGGGTTACTTGCAAATGAAATGAGAGAAATAAATTATCTTTGAAAATTTTATTAAAATTGCTTTTGTTAGCGAGGTTTTGGAACAAAATGTAACAGTTAATGAAAAGATCAAAATTTTAGAGGAATGAGACACACTTATTGCATCTGGATAGTTCAAAGCACAAGGGGCATGCTTTAATTTATCTTAACTGATAATTTAAAAACTAAATGTTAGAACAAAAGGAACTTTAAAAAAAGGAGAAAGCACCCCGAGATCATATGCGTTACTCATGCATTCCACCACCACTACTCAGTAGTTTTCTTTGGAGAAAAAAGATCGAAAAGAGAAGAGGGAGATTATTGAAATTCTGGCTGAAACTTCATAAAAATGATCCTTAAAATGAATCTCACTTTTACAAAAGTGACTTGTCCCTGCAATTTGTATCAGACTGTGGCATTTTGGGGGAGGGGAGATGGACTGCTCCATCCAGTTGCTTGGTCCATGGAAAGGGATACAATCCCAGGTCTTAAAGTGTCTTTAAGGGTACAAAATAGGGCGACACAATTAATGTTATCTTGTCAAAATTTTGCTTGGAATACGATGAACGAGTTGACACTTTCTAAATTCAACTCATAAAATAAATGATACTTCTTGTATACGCAAATTCACACTTTCGGCTAACAAAAAAATCAGAATCTACTCGCGTAAATCGAGCACCAAAATAATTTCTTCATACTTTACAATGGAAGAATTTTCTTGTGAGCCAACTTTTTGTAAACAAGCTTAAAGGCACCTTGTATTAGAAGAGGAAGGCAATGTGTGGGAAACAAAGATTTAGTTATTTTTCCTGAGGTACAGATCGATTTCGATGCCTTATTTGGTCTTTTTTTCTTTATTTCTTTTGCAAGTGAAAAGTTTGAATTTACTGTAATTTTGAAAGTTTTTGATGTGTTCAATATGTTTTGCATGAAATTTTGATGCGACAGCAAATCCTGTTGTGCCTAATTTTGTTACCCTACCTGGTGGTCAATTTTTAGATTCTAAATGAGTTCAAACTTTCCCCATGCACTTGTTGTGATTTTCAAACCACTCTCACTGAGAAACAACTCCTCTTTTTATGACACATTTTGTTCAAAAAATACAAATTGAATGCATTTCAATTGAATATAGAATGCAATAAATTTATTTAATGTTCAAAATAAATTGTTTCGGGGTTAATTTTTGCTTTGTATGTTTGTTTGTTTGTTTGTTTTTTTTCACTCCATTCTGAGAGCAGCAAATAAGAAAGCAACGTTCAAGGTTGCAACTGAAAACAATGTTTCCTATTGTTTTCAACAACTTTTCTGAGTGATGCTTAAAAACAAAATACGTCTATGCTCTATCAATAGTTTGCAACAGAGCCACTATGCTCAGAGATGGACAGAGAATTTGGGCTCATAAAGGAATTTGGGATTTTGGTTTATCGAAAGAAAATACTGTCAAAATTTATGCTGTGAGCTAAAAATAAATAAGTAAAGAGAAGAGAAGAGAAGAGAAGAAAAATATCCCTTGACCAATCAAGCCTAGAAGAGTTAATGAATCTCACCAACTATCTTGATATTAAGTTCAAAGCCTCTAAATTCAGAATGGATCTGGAGATGATTTCTGCTGTTTTCTTCAGGTAACCACCGCTGGTTAACATTACAATAGGCACTCGCCGCTCTCTGGCTTTCATGAAAACTATTTCATCCCTCCTGATAATACCCTGTTAAGACAACAAAGAAAGGATTTAATGAAAATATTAGTCGGTAATAGATGGAACCAAAACAAAATGGGGCACAGTGGCTTAAGACTTACACAATTTTAATTTCCTCAAAGAAAACTTTTACAAATACACTCTGACTAATAACAGGGTTGCCACAGAATTTATGAAATGAATGTTCCTGCCACATTTGGCCAGAATTCCCTGACAACTGGAGGTGCACCAGATGGTTAAAAATGCATCATTTGAAATGGTTTTCAGGCTAAGTTTGTTGTTAGAAACATCAAGCCCATTCTGGAAAAGAGATAAGGGTGTCTGAATAATTTTTTTCTGACACTTTTGTTTTTCCCTTGACTTTCCGGATTTTTCCTGACATTTCTTGGTATTCACTGAATGTGGCAACTCCCAAAAAAAGCTTTCAAAAATTGCAGAGGATACTTCATCACATTAAGAATTACTCAATAATACATGAAACACATAGGTACTACATAAAGAGGAAATTTTAGGTCAACGAGTGGTTTTGACATTTTGGAAAAGATCCAAACAGATCTTAGATTGCAGAAGCCAAGAACTTTCCACACCCTTACAATATTGTGACAATAAGCATACCCTGATTAAATTTTTCTTCTATGGCCAGAACGCTTTAAAATCTGCGTTGCAAATGATTGAGCTGATGAGTTTTGAGCCCTAATATTTGCCAGAGAAGTAGAATTTGTAGAGCTGATCTCATTCTTTCTTGGAGGCAAAGTATAACTAGATCATTATATATTATATATATCTTAAATAGATGGAAGTATAACGTTGTTAGGAGCAAAAAAGAAAAACTTGAAAGTCATCTTACCTCAGCAGAAATATCTAAACGCCCTAGCGGATCTCCACTTAAAATATCAGTCCCTGCATTGTACACTAATATATCTGGATGGAATTTATGTAATGATCTTTCCAACTTCCTGCAAAAAAAAGAATTGCCATGTGATCATTTATAACATAAACGCACAACGTAATGACAGAGTAGTTTGAAGAATTGCAAGCCATGAAAGTCAAACATACACAATTCAAGAAAAAGAGGAGACAACTGAAAAAAACCAAGAGAATATTTTTACCTTCTCCTTTGAACAGTCAGTTAAAAGATTCGGAATGAGACCATTTGCTTTTCCTTCGGTTTCATAGTAGATGTCAATTGGATGAACTGACAATGAATAATGCTATGAATGGGGAGAGGTAATGAAAAGAAAAGAAAATCTGAAGATGGGCTTTTGTTTATTCAGAGTGAAAACTAAAAAAAAAAACTACATAAAAAAAGAAAACTCACATGATTATTCATAATACCTAGCTGCCTGAATGGGTCAGTGACACCCAATTTTTTAATTCATTTTCTGAAAGTATGATTGTGAACTCGAATTCTAGAAATTTTTTTGATGTAAACTATATTTTTTGCTGGTTCTGATGATACAGCTATGCGGGGGAGCGGCATTTGCTGATTGGTTGAACTCAACTTTCCGTATCACCTTGCTGCATCAACTCAACTGTTGGCTCTTGATTAGCCTCGTCTCCCCTTTAAAATTATTTTCGGAACTTTTGAATAAACATGTTGGATTTTTTCACGATATTTCACCTACGAAAAACTATAATCTGACTCAGCAAAAATTTCTAGACCCCCAAAAATTTCCCTATTGACTGATAATCTCAGCAATACCAACTCCTTTGGCCTTGCAATTCAGAATATTTTCTTTCTATTTGCAAAGATTAATGCGAGAGAGATAGAAAAATAAAATTCATCGGAATTGATGTAAGCTCTTACCTTTCAACTAGATCAAGATATTCTGAGTCAGACGTGTATGACTCTAATTCCACCATGCATTTAATGGCTTCTTTGGCCGGCGAGTCTCGAGGGTAAATTTCTCTGTTAAAAACATCCATGATGAACACTTTTTCATCATTAAAGAAGTCTCTTTCATGTCCATTACCCTGAAAAGAGAATTTTTATTATGCAGTTGGAAATTAGAAATTTGACATAATAACTGCCAAGCCAGTCCCAAGGGACCAATAGTGGTTGGTCCAAGCATGCCACAATTTGCCTTAAAATTTACAGCAATTTGAAAGACGTGAAAAATGGGCAAGTGTGAAAGAAATCGCTTAAAAATGGCGGTGCAATTATCGTGTTAAGAAATTTATACAAAAATGCATTTATAATGACATGACTGACACACTGATCACTATGATCGGCCATTCACTGTTGATATGGATTGAGAAATACTATTTAGGCATGATTTACATAATTTCTTCATTTTCAAATCATCGGACTTTCCAACTATTGCTACACTTCATACAAAATTTTCACTTCAAGAAATTCGAGTTATGGAACAAATTACTTCACGTTGTTTCCACTTTCTCAGATTGTATCGGACGACTTTGCTATGTAACTGTGCCTACTCCTCACTAACTTCCCCGACTTTTACAGGAATTCCAGGTTGCTGCAAATTCTTGGACTTCCTCAATTTTTCTGACTGCCAGAAACTCTGCTTAAGTGACATTCACTGATATTTTACAGATCCATGCAGATCTACCACTCAACACAGCTTCAATTGAAAACCTGAGTGATTAGACTATCCTTTTTCTAGAATATTCCATTCAATATACACGGGAAAAAAAAATTGCTGATTCAACAATTCAATTGCTAAAAACAGTGAGTGCAATGTTTCAACGCAGATTTTACAATAAAAAAATGCTACTTTAACAACACTGTAAACTAATTTAACCACAGGGGTAGTTAAAGTAGCATTTTTTAGTTGTAAAATCTGCGTTGAAACATTGAACTCACTGTTTTTAGCAATTGAATTGTTGAATCAGCAATTTTTTTTTTTTTTTTTTCGTGTAGGAAATAATAAAAATCTTCCTCAGTTGAAGGCAACTTTTAAAATCTTCAAACGAGGAAGAATCGAGGGATACCTTTTTAAAAATATTTCTAAAAACGACGAAACTATGAAACTAAAAACTATAAAAGCCCATTTTACAAATCTTCTACCTCCTTCCCTATCAGTATCTTCCTCTATCAGTATTCAAAAAGCAGATCTCTTACTTGATGAGCGTCAAGGTCAACTATCATTGCTGTTTTGACTCGTTGCGGATAAAATTTGAAGAGCCATTTGATCAAAAGTGTGATGTCAGCATAAGAGCAAAATCCTCCACCTTCATTCCCGGAGCAATGGTGAAATCCACCACCTATATTGATAGACCATCCTCGATGGATGGCCAACTCTCCAGCTAGAACAGAACCGCCAACTTGAAACCTGAGAGGGAAAGAAACAAATAAATAATAAAAACGAATAGACCAATAGAAAAATTAAGAGTTACTTGAATGGATGACTGTAAGACCAGTTTTGTTTACAAGAGCTAGTATAGTCTGTAAGAGCACATGACCAAAGAGAGCATCTTTCGCTCATCATATTTACTTATTCTAACTGTGGACAAACAGACACATGAGAAAACTGTGGTCGATAAGAGGGTGCAATCAAAAATCTATCATGAAAAAATATAATTCGAGCCTTCTCATTTTAAAACCTTATATCTCATTCCAATATTTTCAAAGTGATGACCATCTTTTTGACACCTTACTTTAAAAAATCCATAACTGATAAAAAAATTCGCCATTTTGAACCTGAGGCAAGCAAATTTTTCTGTATTCAAGACCCCCTTACACGACCCTCCCATTTTTAAATCCTGTTCTTTGGATCTTCCAATTTTCACATGCAACTGAACGCACTCTGCCAGTTGCATGGCCAGGAAGTTTCTCCACTTAAGAGTGCTACAGTCCAACTTACTAAGCTATACATATTATTATCCAAGTTAGGCTCTGCAACAACTAGTGACGACATCAGCTCCAGTTTTGATAAATTCGAGAAGCACCATTACTAAGCTTCTTTTGAGAGTTAAGATTTTCTATCTCAACTCGTTGTTCAAACACAAAATTGATTTTTTAATGGTGATAATGCTCATTCAAAAAGAGAAAATCATAATTGTTTACATTTGTGAGTCATTTGAAGCAAAACACTGGAGAAGCTCTCCTTACTGGCACGGAAGAGGAGGAATCGAATACATTTTAATTCAACCTCATACGTCTCATAACTATCAACACAGCACTTTGAGTATTTTTTAACAGTCGAAGGAGGAATATATATGTGTTCAGGGTCTCTACCTCCTAGCGTATCAGCATCAGCTGGACGTCTGCTGTAGGACATGATGCACACAGCCTTCAGTGGTAAAATCTGCATGTGGTTCTACTTTGGTTATGCAGCACTCTTCAAAGAAAATTTCTTTCTTGGATTAAATTAACATGACAAAGTTGGTTATGCATGCAGCACTCTTCAAAGAAAATTTCTTTCTTGGATTAAATTAACATGACAAAGACTACATGGCACACTCTATGCACAGTAAGGCTCTACAACATAGCAGCTTCCGAGATAGATATTAAGTTGAAAAAAAAGGAGAGGGAAATACCTCATAGGTTTCAGATACCGCTGATTAATGATCCAATTGGGAATAATCGCTATTGCAGGGATTTCAGTTATCTTGGCAACTTTCCAGCTCCACTAGTCAGAAAAAAAGAAGAAAAAAAAAAAAAAAATTATAAAAAAGAAGAGGAAAAATTTTAAAGTGAGAAACAAAAATTGAATCTTCATCATTTTTTACTGATTGAATTTTAAAGCGGCAGGCATTATTTTAATTTACAGGAATTTCAAAGAGATTTAAAAAGATGGGATTCAGAGAAAACTGCAGTGGCATAAAACAAAGATAACCAAAATGGTATCCAATGAGGGGTCAGGTCTCCAGAGATTAAGGCAATCTACAACCTCAGCTAAATGCTAGAATTTATGGAAAAATTCACACATTAGTTGAAAGTCATGGGAGGCGCAGAAAAATTTGGAGAAAATTTTAAATGATTTGGAACATTCTGCCTTTAGGTTGATCACTTTTTTGACTAATGGAAGTAACCCTTCAAATTGCACGATTACTTAATTAGGGGACAAATAGATTGAAAAAATTACCTTCAAACTGTTCAAGTATTTTTGAGTATGCACTAATAACAACATTTCCGCATCTGCTTCCACTGGGGTGGAGACAGTCTCATCTGACAGCATGTTTTCTTTCTTGAGATTCTGAAACAAAATTCTAGGACCATAGTGAATCACATTCTTTAGATCTCCTCATGTTTGATGTACAACTGTGCAGGTAAGATTTCCATTACATTAAATGCATAGAGACAATTTGTATACATGCTCTATAAAAATCAGAATACTATCAAATTCTACTGCTTATCATTCTTGATTTTCCACCATAAATCTCCTCACAAATACTTGATTTTTCATTCATTTAATTAAGAGAATTTAATTACGAGAAAAAGGATAGCCAATGGGTCTTTCGATCGAAAATTGAAATAATAATAAAAAAGTATAAAAAATTATCAAATGCCTATCTCCTTCCTCATCAGTGTTTTCAACTTAACTTCTTGCTATTTCCAAGTCTTTGATCGCGCCATGAACATTCAACTTTCAATCTGCATGAATTCCCAACTGTTCTGGACAGTCTCTCTGCACTGAAGTTTCTCAGAAAACAGAAATTTTAGCAGAAAACAGAGGGAAGTCGGGTAATAAGGGAAAAACTTAAACTCACCAAGAAAATATGCCTCCATTTCTCTGCATCAAAAGGATGAAGCTTTTGAAGTCCGCACAGTTTGACATCATATTCTTTTGAATACACAATTGGCCACTGATTTTGACTTCTCCTTTTACCTCTTTTATCCGTGAATTCATTGATTTTCTGGTCGTCTTGAGACATACTGAAATACAGAAACCAAATTCAAAACTTACATAAAGGACTAGCAGGAAAAATATGAGCTAAAGATTAATCTTCTTATCTCTCGATAAGATGTCAGTCTTGGGTCATTGTATGGGCACTAGATTCTACTATCACTTGATCAAATTTTATCATAAATTGACCATGCATGATCTTTTCAGAGTCATGTTCCACACGGGATGATGATACAGAGAGCTTAATCAGCTTCTTACACAAGAAAAGTTCAGCTTCCAGAGGCTCGAGTAAGCCAGATTGAAGTGAGCTGACCTCAAGGATTCAGAAGTTTATAATCCTGAAACCCTTACATAACTCCTCGGGTGAAAGGGGGTCCTAGTATCGAAAGTTGGTCTTTTCATGGAAATTAAAGATCCATACTATAATAATTAGAGAAATATGTTCCTATTCTCTGGAGAAGTTACCAACAAATGTTTTTATTATTTTGAAATTTATGAAACAGTGACCAAACATAATACATATGTAGACTTTCATCTTTTTTCAATGCTTAAATTGCCTGGAAATTAAAGAAGTGTTGTATGTAGAAACAGTGGATGTTACTTTTGGTACAAATCACTGTAGCTCATTATTTTGCACTTAAATAAATCTTCAAAGGGGTATTTCTTAGAAGAGAATCCTCTTAGAATTGAAGGTAATACAGTGCAAAACTTAGAGAAGTTAAAAGGCAATTTTCTTAAAACTCTAGAACTTGACATCTGCCTGCTACTCATAGATACTACTCTTAGCGGAGATACTTCTCACATAAGTGTTAGTAAAAAAGGGTCTGCTAGCATGATTCTAAGGCTGAACTCCTCAACAGAAGCGAAAAGGACCAAGGATACAAATCAGAATGGCACGGCCTGGAGCTTTAAGGCAGGAAAAAGAGAGCACGGACATATCATGTGTCTGGAATCAATTACTTGAGTTGCGCTAGCCACAAAAGTTAGTCCTAACTGTTGCTCCTCTCATTAAGATCTAACAAGACTCCATAAAACGCACTATGTCCAATACACATACCTGAGTTCAAAATCACATAAGAGGAGTTACAGGCTTCTCTCAGCTCGGGGGCAACATGGCATGTGAAAAATTGTTGCTCATATAACAGAGAACTGAGGAAAGAAAAGAATAGACTAAAGTCACATCAGTCTGAATGCATCAATCATCAGTTGGCCGATTGGTTAGCATGTAAATATCTGTTGAAGGGTGCAATTTTTGGTTGTGACATTTGTCTATTCATTTCTTTTCAAAGTTCTAGGGGCACATCTTGATTTCTGCATGAGCCCCAGAAAGCATATATTCACTTTTAAAATAGAGCTTCTGCTGAAATTGAGATACACCCTGACGTTAGAAGAGCAATGAAGTAAGGTCTACCACTTGCACTCTCAGATTCATTCGACTGCTTCCGCAGAACTGTCTAAGAGTTAGAATATCAATTCTGCATTAAGGATACACTGGATACGTGGAGAGGGAGAATGTGGTATAGGACCTCGCACACTCTTTAGGGCAATGTGTGCCCTGTTCAATTCTCAATTTTCTTTGTTGCTTTGAAATCGTCTGAAGATGCTGATGAAAAGTCGTCATTGCCCTGACTTTGTACTAGCCACTGGCATTGCACAATCCGCAGTTGAAGTTTCAATAATTCCTTGTATAAATGAAAGTAAGTAGTACAGCAATATAGAGTCAAAGAGATCACTCATCCCAGCACATCAAGTACGGTTCCAGTCAAGTGTGTGTAAATCACGCAAACAGGGAAACTGATCGACAGTCATATCTCAGATCCCACATGCACTTCTTTTCGCCATCCAAATCAATTTCTTACTCTCTCTCTCTCTCACTCTACTATTCTTAACAAACGGACAGCATTGCGTATGGATCTAAGCTGGCCTGTCCTGGATATCATCAAATGTTCAATTGCGGATTGTGCAAAAACGGTGACTTGTGTAAGGGTTGGCACAAGACAGCAATTAAGAAATTGGAAACCGAACAGGGTACACATTCCTGCAATGGATGTGCAGGGTCCTTTCGACTGAAGAAGTCAGGTTACTAGTCTGGAAATGGCATTACTCACCTCATTGTGGTTACTGAGTAAGGCATGGTGAGATTTCCACTCTGCGTTAAAAGCACTGATTGCTAAGGAGCTGCTTTGGTTACTTCCTGGAGGATTGTGTATTCTCCTTGCATCTTCGCGCAGCACCTACAAGTAGTACACACGATGAAGACGAATCTTGCCGAGGAACTCTTCTGGCGACAAAACTTGGCTCACGCTCCGAAGGATTACCACGTGTTTTCATGCATGCCTTTCCGTTCGAAGCAAATTACCGGCTAGAATGAATTCGCGAATAACAGACTGCTGAAGTGAGGTACAGAAAATGGAAAATGAAGCGGGTAAGCTGGAGAATTATTATAAATAACAGAACGACAAAGAGTACTTGAGGAATACAGCGTAAAATTACGCCATAGAATAATAAAGCTAACGCCTTATTATTCTATGATTACGCTGACGCATAGAGAAAAAAAAGGAGGTGTTTGCATCTTGAGGATTTGTACCCACCTACGTCATCAATGTAAACAAGACGCTCGTTGAGGGTTATGTTGACGCTGTAAAAACGGACCATAATGTCCGATTTTTTTAACTTAAATCAACTCTTTATTTAATTTCAAGCACTTTTTATAGAATGACTTTTTCCCTTAAATTACACCATTTCCAAGAAAATCGACAGGATAAAAACGTCGCTGTACCCAATGACGTTATCAAAGCTATAGATACTCTATGAAAAATTCGAAGATGCCCGAAATGCAAACACCTCCTTTTTTTTCTCTATGACGCTGACGGTCGGTGCTCAAGTGACGGAAATGACGGAATCAAGACCAATCCTCACAGGTCAGTCATTCCCGAGGACGAATTTTGGTACTCTACTGCGCAGTGAACCTTGGCAGTGACGTAGTATTGAGTGCATACAATGTATTTCGAGTGCTGCGAGTTAGGGCCGGGCGGGGGAGTGGATTTCAAAAAAGCTGCGCAATGACTGACCTGCTGTGTGGATTGGTCTTGGACGGAATTCCGTTGAGTCTCCCGGAAAATGAGAGAAAACAAAGAAAAACATAAAATGGCGAATGACGATGGCGGCATGTGGCGCCAAAAACGAACCGGCAGGGCAGGTGCTTTTGTCCAACCTAACACTTAAAGTTACACTAAAACCTTTTAAAGTGATAAAAAATTTTTGTACTGATCCACTGATCACACGCATCTTGGAGGGAATGACATGTTGAACTATTTGTAAAACAATTTTCTGATTCTTTTTTGCAAAATTTGGGGCGAATGTAACAGTTAATTTGATAATGAGAAAGCAGTGGCGTGCGGTGGGTTCAGTGACAGGGCAAGCTCTAGCGTTCGCCATCCGGGGGGGGGGGGTTAACGTAGCCTCTTTCCCTTCCCCCTCCCCCTAGCCTCCCTAGAAAATTCTTAAAATTTTACTCTATTTGCTCTATTTTTCGGATGAAATCTGATGGAACGTAACGTCTTGAAAAACTGTATTTTTATTTTTTTCTCTCTTATTTATGATTTCGTTTACTCAACTTGTTTCGAATGTTATTGAGCATTGGAGGACGGATCCTTACTCATAACTCCTAATTTTGCCACTTATTTGAGGTATTATAGTCTTTATTCTACAGCATTTAGAATTTTTTGAGTTACTTAAATTTCCCAAAAAAAGAGGCTTTCTGCATTTAAAACATGATTGAGAATTGTCTAATTCATCACCAATTAGATCCAAGTGAGCGAAATTTTATAGAATATTAAGGCATTTGCTCCGGAGGAGCAATTACAACCGCGACGAAAAGAGGGAACAAGATAGCGCATCGGAGGCAGAAGCAGCGCGCTGGCGCTGCGGTGACGGGCCAAGAGGTGGCCAAGAGAAGCGAGCTGCGATCGCGCAGCGAAGGGCTCGGACTCGGAACGTACCGCGCTCCCCGCCTGCCTTGATTCCGCCGCCGAGCAGTGGCGCTCCGCTCAGCTGATCGCAAGCGATTCTCCAGCGCATGAGTTGGCCCGTGTTCAGGCCGCGCAGCGCGCTGCGCCACCTCCATCCGCTCTTCTGCTTTCCTACTTTGGTGGCTCTGTACGTATTTCTGTCTCCCTCTCTTTCTGTTTTTAATGCAATTTACTTACTGAACGCATTTAATAAATTATATTTGCTAAAATATAAAACATTTAATAGGTGTAATTTTCTTCTTACTTTAGAAATCTTTGGGCAAGCAGTGCTTGCCTTGCTTATCCGGACCGCACGCCACTGTGAGAAAGTTATATGACTTGTCATAAGCTACTCCACATGAACTCTGATATGGATTTTATTTTTCTTTATCAGTAATTTATTACGTAATTCATGCGCTGCTGGCGCCATCTTATGGACAGACACCATACTTGATTACTTGCTCATTGTTGTTTTGGTCTTTATCACACGCACACAACTTTGCGCTTTCGTTTCAAGTTCCGCTGTCCGCAGCAAGACTTTTACGGAAATACGGAATCCTTACTGACCCACAGTCAGTCAGTTATTTACTTATCACTTCATTCATTTAGATTTTGAGATTATTCGAACGTTCACTAGTCTAACAAGATTCATCGGATTGTCACTTTTTCCTCTGACTGTTTGATAAAGGTGAAGTTTTTTCGGCTCATCCTTGCTCGTGCTAGTGTTGTGGTCCACGAAATCCAGCTTTTCTTGCTCGCTGTCGTGTTTACCTCCGCTGCGATCCTACCTTAAAGCTAGCAATTAATCATCCTTCCGTAAGCGAAGATCCTTTTTGTGGACTCGAGATAGTGAAAATGCTCGTTCATCTCTATAATTTATTGAATATCAGAAAAACCATAATTTAATCTGACTGTAAATGAACTGATACTCTGGTTTCGGTAATCGTAACGTAAGTCGCCGCTCGACGAACGTCTCTTGGGAATGGGAAGTCCGGTTTAATTTTTTGGTTAAAAAATCTGTGAATGTTTTGATCAGAGACAGAACTAAATCAAGACGGATGAATAGTGAAACGATTCTGCGGGTCATCATTCAAACGTATATTCAGTTCACCTAATAAACTGTTCAACACAAGCATTTCGTACTCATACAAACTTTGAACACGTTTTTTCCAGTTCAGTGAGAGTATTTACAACTCGGCGAATTTCAGAGCTTATCACTTATCAGTGTCCATAAGCAGGTCAGTAAAATTTCAATTTTTTTTTTAGAAGATGAGGCACTTTCCATTTTACGCTATCACTTAATATCACCTCTGCATATCTTGCTATCCTTTGAAGGCACTATTGTTTTTGAATTTTCAGTTATACTTTGATGTAGCATGTTACTTTCCAAAAATGAAAAATTCCATAGCAGTACCAAAATGCAGTAGGGATCAGGTCTCCATTCTGAAGTAGAGGAGTTGACACAACGCAAGCTGGAATGGGGGTATCCTGCTTTAAAAATAGCCTTGAGTGCTGGCATCTCAAAATGAAGCAGTCCAGAGCTGTGCCTGCCATTTATATTCTGCCTCTTTAGGAGGGTTGCCCTGAGCATTCGATTTCAGCATCTTACTACAACCTACCTGGACTCACAGGATTTCTGATTATCTGGTTTCTGAATGATCAGTGTAGCCGAAGATTGAAGCTTCATGATTTTATATTGGATTCGTTTTAATGTTAGTCATCAAAAATTAGAGGTTAACATACCTATGCCAAAACAGAAGTAGGTCTCTAATGCTGGAGGTGCTGATATGTCAATTGTTGCAAGTGAATATACTTAATTTGATAAATTAACAAAGTTTTGCGAAAAATTGCAAAAAAAAAGGTAGACGTGAGTGTTGTAGAAGGCTGTTCCCCAAACTCCGAGTTACGACAGTCTCCGCTCGGTACATTTTTATCACAATCAAGGAAGCGATAAATATGGGTCCGAGTTACGACAGTCTCCGCTCGGTACATTTTTATCACAATCAAGGAAGCGATAAATATGGGATATACATGCAAGGAGAGAAGCAAAAATGACCATCATATGGAAACAAGAAACATTCTAGTGAGAACAACAAGAAAGGTTGACTCTGGCTGGGACAGGGATAGCTTGGAGTTTAGGGGAGTCAGGTTTTTCAACAATTTATCTAAAGAGTTGAAAGAGATCTTCGTCAAAGCTGAGTCGCCAAATTTGTTCATTAAGATATTTAAAGAACACTTTACAAAACGCTTACCACACCTTGCAAGAATTTTTAAGTTTGTAGTATTCATCTGTTTTGTAATTTTTTCTAATTCGCCTTGTATTGGGCCCTTCTGCAGCCCACAGACTTTGACTTCCATCGATATTGATAGAACTCAAAGTCTGTCAGGTCGGGCTGCTGTTCAGGCTAATGAACTAATCTTTAAAAATAAAAATGAAATAAATACTTTTGCTGCACTATTGGGGTATCAATCAAAACAACTTTTAAAACGAAGTAAATAACATTATAACCAGACCATGTGCCTGGGTTTATGACGTTGCAGTCTTCCTGTCATACTCTATTCTTTGAATGGAAAACTAATCAATATCAATTATTGTAAACTTCCATGATTTTTCTTATCTGTGAAAAGAAAATTCTATCAACACTTCCATGAATGATATTGATTTGTTCTTGTTCAAAAAAATAAAATGGGAGCAGAAATTTTTTAACACTACAATCAAAATATGTGGTCTGGTAGTTTCACTGTCTATTTAAACCATCATTTTCTTATTGTACAAAATGTAACTTGCAGATCATTGATGGCAAAGTTTCAAGAAATCAAATCTCCATCACATTATTTCAAATTTCTGTTCCTGATTACGTATTTGTTTAAGTACCAAAAAATTACCCAATTTATTCATATGAAATAATTAAAAACTATTTCTCTCAGTGAAAAAAAGAATGCAAAGGGTTCTGCAACGAATTGGAAATCATAATCAGACAGAGTGCCTTCATATTTTCATATAGGCAAAACTACATTTCTCCGGACTTGCAGTAGTTGCGCTTGCGTTTCTCAAAAATAATAATCAACCCGCAGAAGTCCCTCACCCACCAATCTCTATCGCAGGTATGGGGAAAGTTTTCTGCCCACCCATTTTGCCGATTGTCCCGCTCATGCTCTAAACCTTTTTTCCACGAAACGTTTTCAAAGCGATGACACATTATTTTTCCTCCCTCCTTTTTTGTTTTTGAATCACCGTAATTCTGCGGAAAACACGCGATTTTCATTCCTGGCACTAACCTGGCGTTTTACTCTTTGGAACTTTCTTAAGCAGAGGTGCAAAAATTGTCATTCGGCCAAACGTATCATACGATCCGGGATTCTTTCCTCGCTCACTTCCGGACCTCTTTTTCCCAAATTTTTCAAAGTGATGGCCCTTTTTTCTCTCCCCCCCCCCTCCCTCATCTCCTCTTAACTTTTGAAACTTTGCTCGAAATGTCTCCCGCAAAATCGAAGAGATCGATTAACTGTCGGAATTTTTACCGAAAATTTTTTTCTGTGTCGTTCTGGTCAAAAATTTGTTCACCGATCATGCGATCTGATAATCGGACAGATTTTGCACCCCTGTCTTCAGGGCCTTCCCATTTTTGTAAAGGGTCAGTTGGTCGCGTGGTCGAAAAGTTTCTGCCCCGTGCCCACTGAAACACGAGTGGACGACACTGTTAGTCGAAGGTAGCACCTCAGAATCAAACAAATTGCCTTCAGAATTTAGTGTAGGCAATACTGCTTCGCTCTCGGGTCGAAATAGTCGCATAACTCAAGGTCCATCCGGAGTTGTTTGGGATAAAACCCTCTTACCCTCAAAATTTTCAAATACTAACTTTCCATTCCTCTCCTCTGTTTTCTTTTCCTTTCCTCTGTTTTCTTTTCCTTCCCTTTTTCGATCCGTTCGTTAAAAATTATCACACTTCAGCAGAAAATCATTTTCTTGTCATAAAATACGAGCCTTCTCTTTTTGTCTCCCGACCGCAATCGCGTGATCGAGAAGTTTGTGCATCCATAGGGTGAAGGGGGTTAGACGCCGGAAATTTTAACCGTTACAGCTTTTCAGTGAAGGACGTTCCGTTTTTGGAGGGGGAGGGGGCGTCACGATAACGAAGTGCTGAAACCACCCGTCAGCATACGTTTTAAAATTGTAACGCCTTGACATCAAGGAGGAAACCGTCTATATTCTAAGGACTGGGTGCGCCACGGAAAGTTTCCGATCAGGTTTTATAATACTAATTCTGTTAATCCGCTAAGCCTAGAGGATAGTCCAGACATTACATATCAATGACTAAAGTGCGTGACCGCGTATCTCCGTGTGCGACGTTGTGAACTTCCAGTCTAACCTTATTTTTTCCTGAGAAAACTAGTCAACGCAATTTCCAGGGTTGCCACAGCCAGGGAATCCCGGGAAAACTAGGGATTTTAAAAGTCAGGGAAAATAACGAAAATGTCAGGAAAAAGTATTGGGTCACCTTTCTTTGCCGTCTTGAATGGGGTTGACGTTTCAAACAACGCATTCTGTCTGAAAGCTATTCCCAATAATGGCTTATTAACCGTCTGGCATATCTTCAATCGTCAAGGAATTTTACCAAAATGTGTTTAAGAAATGTCAAGGAATTTCGTTTTCTAAATTCTGTGGCAGCCTTGAATTTCTTGATAACTGCCGTGGTTTCACTGCTCTGTAAGTAGGATACTCTCACTGGTAAAAAAAAACCTCTCGGACCAATGCCGCGGTGCATTGACTTAAGAGTGCAGTTTCTTGTCGCCGGATTTAAGAGTCTTGAACTCTTGTTTCAAGCGGATTTTGCATTGAAACAAGAGTCCAGACTCTTCAATCCGGCGACAAGAAACTGCACTCTTGAACCAAGAGGTTTTTTTTTTTTTACTAGCGTGAGTAAGTTTCAAGCTATAAAGCTGACTTGTTCCTCCTCGAAAAAATAATCTAGGAGCGAAGATTTTGAAACACCGCAATGGAGATACGTTGTGTCGCACTTCAGTCGTAGATATGCTTTTTATGGCGCTAGCCTTAGAAAAGCGTATCGTTAGTTTTCAAGTTGTTAGTAAACGAATCCCCCCCTCCTCCTCCGCTCCACCCTCTCCGCCTCGAATACTATGCCTTTTTGCTTATCAATGAAAGGGCAACGATCGTGAAAGTACTGAACGCGCTTCACTCTCCTACCTAAGCTTTATCTTTTGTTTTCTCATGTTATCGACTTTTCCTTTTGTGCTCAATTATTGTCAGAAAAGGAGGGTCGTAAGTTTTCGAGTGCAGTCAAAAGTTGACAACGAGAGTCTCACGATAAGAAAGAATAAAATTATTAGTCCTCATTGTCAGTTGAAGTTTTCCTCTGTCCACAGGGTCAGCTCCACTTCACTCACTCCTTGTTTTAACTGGAGGTAATTGCTCATGTATTCCCAAAAATTATCGATTATCAATTGGATTGCATTTTGCAAAAAGGAGCCACAAGCATACCGGTGTCGCTAAGATTGTGCAACTTTTTTTGCCTTGCAAATAGGAACTGATCATCTAAAAAAGTTTTATCTTCACTCTCTATAAATTATGAATTCAAGACAAAAATCACGTTGGTGAATAATTTTTGTCATGATTTCTGTAATTTTCTGCAAGGACTTTAAGTTGTTCAATCCTAGCAACATTGGAATGCTCTTGGTTCCTTTTTGCAAAACGCAATCCAATTGACCAATAATCAACCTTACTTCTTCAATGGTAATGAACGCCGCAGAGATCACATATTGTTCCCATTTTATGTTCACATTATACCTACCAGTGGCGTGGCGTGAATGATCGATTATCGATATTTCACCATTTGAAGTTGTAGTAAAGGATCGATTCTTAAGGTGTTCGCTGCAAACACCTTAATAATCGATCCTTTTTCATAGATTTAAATAGCAGGTCATTCGATTTATTGCAACGCACGCCACGCCACTGATACCTACCGATGACGAAATTCATCAGTGATACTCCCAACCCATGTAATTCATTTGTCGTGTTTAAAAATCGCCGCCCCCGTCTCATTTATGAAGGAGAACGAATCAGCATTATTCCTTGAAGTTTTCTCAGAATTATGGCTTTACAGCAGAACAAATTTAAAACACCGCAATCAAGATCTATGTTGTCGTGGTTTTACGTCGATGAGTTTGTCTCAATAGTGGTGGCCACCTTTTTCCATTGTGAAACTATAAACATCTCTCAATGGTCTGTTGCAGGGTCTGCCATTCGCTCGGGGAAAGGGATAAAGGCTGGCGAAGTATGGATAGCAAAATTCCTCACATTCCGAAAACTTTACACGAAAGCAATCTGGAGGAAGGCGCTACCCACATTCTCCAACACATCAGACCTGAATGGAGTGCCGACAAAGTTCAGTTCAAGGTGCGTGGCTATTCCTCAATTTAAGCTCAAGATGAAGCAAATGAACGCGTACTGCACTGCCGTGCTAAGAGAAAACGCCGTATGAACGTTCGAGAGTTGCCAAATTTCCTCGGATAAAATATTTATTTTTGAGGAACATCATGCATATTTTCCCCTGAAATTTCCAGATTTTTAAGATTGAATTGCGAAGTCAATTATCCGATTAATTTGGAAAAAATATCGCCTATTTTCCCAGTAAATCCGATCTTTATTGAAGGAAATATGGCTCAATACACCGGTGCTTCGATTCGATTATCCTAAAGCAAGCAGTAACGTAAGACATATTTTCCGCAAGCTTTAGGTCCTGCGGCGTCGGGCTGTGAATTAATCACACTAGGGATGAATTCCTTTTCTGGCCGGACTTTCTTCTAACTCCTCGGCGAAAAAGATACAAATATGTTGAGATGCGCGCTCGAATTTTTTCTAAAGTGACCATGAAACGATTTCGTCTCATTCGTCGTTCTTAAATCAGAGGAGGTGAAAGCCGTGGCCACATTTAAAGACGGCAACGTAACTGTTATATTTTTAAACATTCAAAACATTTTTCGCAAAATTTACTATGTCACGATCAAAATCAGTAATAGTTTATCTCATCGGCGCAATAAGCAAGGCTGGCACCAAGTCACGGGGTGAGACGTGAGAGAAACAAGCAAAGCAGCGTCTCAGTCAGTTAGTATCTTCGAGTGCGACGAACACTCATCTTAACTCCTGAATGCAACTATTCGGGCTTCATGGATGTCCGTGTTGCATACGCACAGAGTTGAAGGCGTTTTGACTATCGACGCACTCATCAAGTCACCACTTCACCCGCGGCGTGGTGCCAAACGGCGAGCTTTACTGCGACGATCCAAAATGGCAGAGCGTTTTCAATTCTTCTTCTGAACTACGAAGGTAGCAACTCCTAGGCGCGAATAGTCGCATACAGGCGTAGGGTTTTGTGTTTCAATATTGGTATCGTGATGTCCTGATCATGATTTGTAGAGCAACTAGGTATGCCTAAGAGATCTCTTCGAAGTATAAATGAAGAATTGAAGGCACTCCGTCATTTTAAATCCCCACCGTAAAGCCCACCGCACGACGAAAAGAGTATTTTTGGGAGGATAGACATGTAACATGTGTTCGACCAGGACTGCAAATCTTCATGTTAATATCCTCACATCTTGAATTTTATGGGATGCACCTTGAAGGAACTTTTACGAGAAAAACAATGGAACTACTTCTAAAACCTCCACGTTTCGCATTAACATCGATATTAGCTTTTAATGTCTCCTCATTTTGTGTGACTCATCTTAACTGTCTCGCTCCACTGAGCGCCGCCAGTGAGATGGTTGGTGTCTGAATCAAAACGCCTTCACTTCTGTGGGTATGCAACACGGACATACATTTAGTCCGAATAGTCGCATCCAGGCGTTATAATGAAAGTCGTTTAATATCCGTCGCATGCAACACCGACTGAGGCTTCGATTGTTTCTCTTACACCTTTACTTGAGTTCAGCGTTGCCTATTATGCCGACTATGTAACCCATCACTGGTTTTTATCGCAACATTTTCGATTTTCGAAGAATAACAACAATCCCTCAATAAACAATCCTGATGAATTTGATAAAATAAGATGACCGCATTCGTCTTCATTCGAAAAAATGAAATGCGACAGGAAATCTGTAACATCGCAAGCCAATCTACACGAGTATGATTTCCTAGGTGCACTAGCAAAACCAAAGCACAATTAAGTCTAGTCAATATATTAATGATAATTGTATCATGTTCTGCTCTTCTCCTCCTGAGATGTGGGCCTCGTCTAGTTTAAAATGAATTTAAATGGAAGAGCATTAACCGGTGGGCGATAGCCCACCCGCGTCTATTTAATTATTTGAGCCCTGTCTTAAGTTGAGTGTGTGTTACATCTTATAATAAGCATTTATACTTAACAAGTGTCATGATAAAACCTACGTGACAGGAGCATGTTCCAACAATGAATTTCAATGTCATGTGCCCATCGTGTGCCAAGGCACTAGGTTTTCCGCGTCGAAGAAGCGACGGTTAAGAGCATAATGTGATGCTTAAATTTTTGTTTTAGATAACGTCCCTCGCCCTCGGCACTTCAAAAAGAAAGAGAGAAAAACTGCCCCCCCCCCCCCCCCCCCCCCCCC